CTGCTTTCTATGTCAGATCATTGGGGATAGGAATACCCCGGACAAGTTACAACTTACAATCCCCCTTCAATTAAAATATTTAAACCTATTTACAATATATATATATATATATATGGGTTTATATTTCTGCAGCTGCTGTATGTGCAGCAATCAAATATTTGCCATATATATACCCGAAAACATTAAATGCGAGGAATCATAACCATACAAAGATGGAAAGCATTAAATGTGATAAATCATAACCATACACCTGTCGTTGCTCTGCAGAAATAATTTTACCATATATATATATATATATATAAACCATCCTTGTATATATATATAAACCATCCTTGTTTAGTTGTATAACTACCAGTACCTGATAACTGTAATTTAGTTCCGTGACAGGCTCGTTAGTGGGGCACTATAAGTGTCTCTTTCTTAACGGAAGGGTAAAGTACAGCAATAGGGTTTTTTTAATTATTTTTCCATGTGAAGGATGGATGTTTCAATTTCTAGCTAGTTATTTATTAGGGTAATACTATTACCCTATTTATTATTCTGTATTCTTACATCTAAGTCTGGATTCCGTAAGATGTAGGTTTCTTCCGCGTAACATTGATTCTCAAGGTCAAGGTCAAGGATAATCAGATATTATATATATGTTATTAGGGATGATACCAGTATTAAACAAAAAGGTTTGATATCTCATCCGAGAGTCGTTGACCTTTCCTTAATCTAACAACTCTGATTTATAAGTATGTGACATTATTGATCTGCCTTGATCTAACGGACGTCAGATGAGATTTCAAATTTTTTGTTTGATATCGGTGTCAAACGATCTTACCCCATGTTATTATTATATTATGCATTCATGATAATTAAAATAGGAGCAGAATCCTTTAACAAATTAAAAAGTTTGAGATCAAATTCTAACCGTTAATTTCTATCAATCTGATGATTATAATTTATTGGGTCAAACTTATTAATTAATTAGTAATTCCTGATAAATTATAACCGTCGATTGGTGAAAATCAACAGTTATGATTTGATATCAAACTTTTAAATTAGACACCGGTGTCAAAAAATCATATCTCATTAAAATATTACATAAATATTTAATATTGATAGTTTATAATGTACACATCAAAAAGTAAACTACGAACACTCTTAAATCAGTTATATATTCTGTTATAAAAAAAAAAAAAAATCAGTTATATATTCTGACAATCACCTAATCATATATTGTTATATAATTTTTGATTTTTTTCGTCATCTTAATTATTTTAACTAATTACGTTTCTGTGATGGATTAAAAAAACGATTCATCATATTAAATTAACCCTTTGAATCCCTCCGTAGGGGTGTTCGTGGTCTAAATTGGATCGGTTTTGGAAATAAAACGCATCCGATCCAATCCCTTCGGTTTGATCATGTAATCATCCATTCGGTTTAGATTTTTTTTCAAATCCGATCCGATCCAATCCAATTTTTTTCGGTTTGGATTAGATCGGTTTTCGGTTTTTTGAATATCCTAAAATTAGTTTCGTGATTATTGTGCAAATAACATCTTTTGTATATATTGACTTTGTAAAAAAAAAAAATTGAAATACAAAAATATCAGTAAACAATACTATAGTTGATGAGAGGTGACTAAAATTTTTTTTGGGTTTAGTTGATGAGTTAATGGGTCTTGAGTTTAGAAATTTTTGGGCTATGATTGGAGAAAAGACAAGTAGGTAGAGGATAATTAATATATTGGATCGGTTTGGATTGGATCGGTTTTCATCAACCCATCCAAAAACTGATCCAATCCAATTAAAATTTGCGGTTTTCTTTCGGTTTCCGATTTTTCGGTTTTCGCGGTTTGAATTGGTTGATGAACACCCCTACCCCCCATCTTTTGCATACTTTTTGAAAGAATAAAAAGTTAATCAAGAAAGTGTTTAACTCCCTCTGTTAAAGTTAAGAATCTCTCCATGTTCTCTCTCTCTCTCTCTATATATATATATATATATAATTAAAAATTCAGTCACTGGACCGTCTCCCGAGAGAACATAGTTATAAATTTTACTATAACTGTGTTCTCGCGGGAGAACTTAGTGCACTGGACCGAATTTTACATCGAATCACTGTAGACTCACTAAACCCATATATATATATATATATATATATATATATATATATATATATATAGGAAAATATATTTTTCAAGCAGCTTGAGATAAGTTTATATTCGGTTATCCAAAATCTACGTTGTTTTATTTATTTATTTTCTTATATTAATTGGTTCATCTTTGAATGGTTATGATTCCCCTTTTCTCTCTCTTCTTTCATTATCATTGATCCATCTTTGTACGGTTATGATTTAGTAGCCAGAGATAAAATTATCTCAAGCAGCTTGAGAAACGATAAGGCCATATATATATATATATATATATATATATATATATATATATATATATATATATATGAGGTTTACATTTCTGCAGCTGTTGTACGTGCAGCAATTAAATACTTGTCATATATATACTTGAAAACATTAAATGCAGGGAATCATAACCATACAAAGGATGAAAGCATTAAATGTGAGGAATCATAACCATACACCTGTCGTTGTTGTACGTAAAACAGCTGCAGAAATAATTTTACCTATATATATATATATGAGTTTTATTAATATCATGTTAAAGAAAATAAGTTATGTGACATCATAGAGACGAACTTTTGGGCTCCACCACCTGAAAAAATATAAAGAAAAGAAAAGAAAAAGTGGCACAGTTATCGAAAGGTGTATAAGAGGAAAAACTTATATCATGTAACATGATAATAGTTTTTTTCCTATATATATATAGAGAGAGAGGATCATTTGATTCCATTAACAAATAAAAAATTTGACACCGGAGTCATTGGTCTTGTCTTAATATAATGATTTTGGTTTATAAACATGTGACATAGTTGATTTGCTTTTATCTAATGTGTTAAACTTTTACCCGCACAAGTGATCACTAGGTAGGAGTGAGTTGAAAACGAGCAAATTAGATGATTAACAGAAGTGGATATGTTTAAACTTTCTTACCCCTATTTAATCAAAAGATTTTTGCCAGCATATTGTCATTAGAAATGTTTTCGTCCTATAATGGAAAAAAAAACCTCATAATTTATTTTCTTTCTTCAACGTCTTGTTTTCTCAAAATCGTCACCACCTTTTACTAAGTTAACTGTATAGAAAAATTCATGACGTAAATTCTCTACATTGATAATCGAAGATTGTCTTTATAATTTGGGTAAAAAATCAATCCTCATCAAATCCAACTAGCGAAGGTTGGGTTAGGTGGTTAAATTACGACATCTTTCTTTTTTCTTGAGAAAATACACTTCCCACTTATACTAGCAAAGGTGAGCAATTACGAGCTAAGAGGAATAGTTTTCCTCTCTATGTGACTCTCAGTTTTGAACGGATAACAAAAATTAAGTGCTTCAACTATTTTACAAACCAATCAAAGCACATTTTTTTCTTTTAGATTTTTGCACCGACTAATTAATTAATCGATTAATCTGATCGAGTCGGGCAGAATCAGAGAGACCGCAAGTATGAGACTTGAACTGAACAACCCATTATCAATTAATCTAGGTGGAAATGATTTGGTTATAAAGTGAAAATGAGATGGCAATAATTGGGTAAGAAGAGGCAAAAACGACCTTTTCCAAGATACTTTCTGATTCCTTTTGATTTCATTTACCAATTTTGTCCCTTACTTTTGATTTGATCTCCTGCTCATAAGCAAGTGAATAATGTCCAAGGTCCCTTACGTCTCATTTTCTCATCCCTAACTAACCCTCGTTGCCGTTTAAACAAGCAGCCAACGCCTAATAGCCACCGTGATTAACGTGAGTCGTCGAGCAACTGGCGACCACAATAACAAGAGGGTGATATTTGGGGTGCATTGTTTTTGTTGCTATGGCTGCATCCTCTTCACTATATGGAAAATGAAACCAAATAGAAATGTCATCAACTAAGTAAGGGCCACATTAATGCCGAGTAATAATTTTATTATTTTTTTTTTGGTACGAAGTAATCACTTTCAATACCATGTTCTTGTGTTCCATTAGTGAAGAGGATGAAATCGTAATAGATGACCACTTTAATTAATAGTATGACCACTTTAATTAATAGTTCTCCTGAATAGACCAAATTAATTAAAAAAACAATTATGAGAACAAATTGAAAATAGAAATAAAATTTTAAAAAAAAAACAAAGGATTATTCTTTGAATGAAAGTGAAGCAAAAAATAATGGAAAAAATGTGTGTTATTTTAAATGACACATCTTGTGTTCTTTCACTCTCACAAAGAGATAAAACTCACACCTTTAAAACTTTCCTCCCTCCCCCACTCTCTCTCCTATTATCTATCTCTTTCTCTCACTTAAAATGATGTAACTTTGTATCTTTTAAAATGATACACATTTTTTTCCAGAATAATAATATAATTGTTTTAAAGTAGTTTTTTAATATTGCCACTTGCAGTTTACCAATAATAATAATAATAATAATATTGCCACTTGCATTACTCTTACATTTAAAATTGTGCATAACTTTGATGATTCATTTTTCAATCCATTTGATCTCAAACAAACTATTTTCTACTAAAATAGAACGGGAAAACTTAGACCAAACATGAAAGAAGAAAATTGTGTATACCACCATCGTTTGATCCCACACACCGCATGTAACCCGGCCTTTGAAGTGGAAGAATAATACGTCATAATTTGATTCCATACTCACCCCCTTTACCTACCCAATATTTGTTGATGTCCTACACACATTTTTATCTCTAATGTAGCCCGAGCCAGAACGCAACCATCAGCTCTACTTGTTACCTCGTCTTTGATCAAAGAATCTAAATAATGTATTACAATCATACAAAGGCGTCCAAATGTTGCTGTATTGGTAGCTTAGAAAAGAGATTTTGATTGAAACTGCAAATCTAATTCATTATATATTATTTAAACATGCTTCATATTTTACATACTGGATCAAATCTGAATTCTACTACGACCTTTGATTACCTTGGCTAAACAATGCTAAAAAATTATTATACTAGATGCACATCTAAATTGGCTTCTTTTTCTTTTCAGAATAACAAAGAGGACAGAAAGGCCATTTCCTTGGACGTGTTAGGCATAGCTCTTGTTAAACCTCTTGTAGGCACTAGGCACCATCAACGTGTAAACCTCAGTTCAATTAATCAACCAAAACCATGTAATCCAAGCAAAACCACGGGAATAAACGGGATCTACTTTCATTGCCTTGCCTGTTAAAAAGAAAAAAAGAAAAAAAAAAACTCTGGTGAAAACCATTCTCCAGGCCTAAATCAAACGAGATAGTGCAAAATTTTCTCATCCGTTACCTCTGCAATAAGATGCACGATCATGATAACAAATCATTTTTGTGAGCATCTCCACGTATCTTCCATATAACTTTGACAAACCATAAATAAGGATAACTCTACTTGTAGATGAAGTAACCCCGAGCTCCTAAAACCATTCTGCAGAAGGGAATGGGTATCGGTCCCGCTTTTTCATATTATATCTACACCATGAAGACTAATTTGCTAATTGAAACACCAATAACAATGTACAAAAATTGGCCTTGCAGAATTTGCCTTCTTTTTAGTCCTTGGGAAAATAACGGAAAGCTGATCCAAGTTGGAAATTCTTTTGCTTGAATTATCTACCTTTTATGTAAGAAGCATTGAAGGTTTATGTCAAAAATAGTTCTTGGGATTCCATTGGAGATGTCCAATACTGCAGCAGTGCTTCTACAGTTAATCTTCGAGTTGCACTGAGCATTGAGATGAAAAACCGACAACCATCGATTTTATACTCTTCAAGAGGATTTCTATGGCCGAAGCTCCTTACATTCACCTACCACAACTCTGAGATAAGCCTTTAGAGGTTAAGAAAGCCAAAAAGATTCACGAGAGCATAAGGACAAATTACCGCAGAGCTGAGCCTATTCATGTTTACAAGATGATCTCTCCAGAAGCAATCAAGAGTTTTCAAAAGAACAGCTCTCTGTATTTCACAAAGTATTACATATAATGAGTAATATTTTTAAGAGAAAGAGAAACTGAAAACTCCCAAGAAGTGGATAAACAAGACACAATTAGAATGCAGTGATCAAAAACAGATAAAAGAAACCAACAATAACCTTATGGATATGCTTGCCATCAATGAATAATTTACCATTTGGACAATATACATCAACAGTTCTCTAATTAGTGTAAAGAACCTTGGGATACACCACCCCAAAAGCTAGCTCAAAGGGTGGGAGTGTCCAAGGCCTTATAAACTCCACATTAGTTGCTCATACAACCAATGTGGGACTATATATCTCAACAATTAGCAAATTGAAGAATGAAGAGCACCATGTTCATACCCCAATCCCCCCTTAATAGAGAGGCAGAGGAGCATTTCTAAAAGCAAAAAACTGTATCTACTAGTAATTATTGGGATACTTATATTCACTAATTCTGCAGTGAGGCTCAAGCTTTCTTTTCATACTTTTAAGAGGAAGCAGTGACATTGACTATGAAGGACGGTAGGAGTAATATCATAATATTATTTCCCCACATTAAAGATTTTGGATCATAACTTTGTAGATTTAATATCAACAAGTGATTGTCAACTAATTTTCATTCTGTGTGTTTGTGGGTTCATGTTATGGGACAAAGGTAATATGGATGCAGCAAATTGTGCAATACCTTAGGCGCACTTATGGTACCCCGGGCTCTATTTTTATTTCCTTCATTATATGAACATGCTAAGAAATGCATGTGAAAAGACTTGTACATTAAAACTTCATTCTACCATTATTACTAAAATTTAGCAATTAATTTATCCTAAAATTAATCTATCCAATGATTACTGATTCCAGAGTTTCACTTTGCTAGAAGTAAATTAATCTGTTATGGATTTCCACTCAACAATGAACAAACAACTAATAACAGAGGTATTTTTGGCCTGAATACATCAGATTTTTTATATATTTTTCCAAGGAACAATTACAAGACAATTAAACAGAGACAAGTTCAGAATTACACAAAAGAAGAGGAAATACAATGAACCGTAAATTGCAACAACAAGGAAATACTCAAGATAATTCTAAAGCAATTATAGTGGCTCTAGGCTCTCCCATTACCAAAAAAGGTGCCCAAGGTTATCAGCCTCCAAAGATGATCCTCCCTTGCCACCAACGCTCAATATAACCTACTCCCTCACACTTCACGTTCAATTCTGTTACGGGGTATTCATGTAATATGCTCTACTGACGTGGCAGCAGTATTGTAATGGTCCTTTTGGGCCATTTGAGCCCAATTCTTTGTAGTCTTATCCCTCTTGTATGTCTTGGCCTGAATTGCATCAATACTCCCCCCCATTTGAGAAACCTTGTCCTCAAGGTTGAATTGAGGAAACTGCTGGTTGATTATTTCAAATTCCTCCCACGTGTTCTTGAAATCTGGTGAATTCTGCCATTTAATCAGCACCTGGACAGTGTCTTGAACAGAACGTCTAACCTCCATTAACTCTTTTGGTTCCACCATGAGCTCCCAATTTTCATTTAAGATTGGGGGAGGGGGCTAAACTGTGGTTGTGGCCTTGATAGCTTTTTTGAGGAGACTAACATGAAACACCAGATGAGCCTTGCAATCCGCAGGAAGGTGGAGACGGTAAGCCGTTTCCCAATGCGTTCAAGTACTTGATAAGGCCCATAAAAACGGGGACTAAGTTTTTCATTGACCCTCCTAGCAATTGTTTTAAGGCGATAAGGCTGAATTTTAAGGTAAACCCACTCGCCCACTGCCATATGAACATCTTTGTGTTGCTGATCCGCATAGTGCTTTATGCGGTCTTGAGCAAATGATGTTGTAAATCGTTTAGAATGGCATCCCTTTGCACCAAAGCTTGGGAAACAGCAGGAATAAAAGTGCCACATTTAAATAATGTTGGGGGATCTCTACCATACAAACCTTTAAAAGGGGTCATACCTATAGTATCCTTGAAGGTTGTATTATACCAAAATTTCGCCAAATGAACCCAGGTAGGCCAAATTTTGGGTTTAGTGCAGCAGAAACAACGCAAATAAGCCTCCAGGCACCTGTTTACCATCTCAGTTTGTTCGTTGGTTTGAGAATGATACAAGATACTATAATGCAATTTTGTGCCTGCACTCTTGAAAATTTCAGTTCAGAAATTGCTTAAAAATACCCTATCTCTGTCTGAAACAATGGTGATAGGGAACCCATGCAGTCTAACGATCTCAAGGATGAATAAATCAGCCACATCTTTTGCTGTATAGGGGTGTTTCAGTGGAAGAAAATGAGCATACTTGGTAAACCGGTCGACCACCACAAATATGGTATCTACCCCCATGGATTTGGCAGTCCACCAATAAAGTCCAGAGATATATCTTCCCACACTTGAGTTGGAATGGGTAATGGCTGTAATAAACCAGCCGGAGTCAAGTTTTAAGACTTACATTGCTGGCAAACTTCACATCCAGCCACGTACTTCTTGATGTCTTTCTTCATTCCTTCCCAATATACTACTCCAGCCAGCCTTTTATACGTTCGGAAGTACCCAGAATGGCCTCCAACACCAGAATCATGATATTCTTTCAAAAGAAGGGGAATGAATCGTGACAGCCTGGGCAATACTAATCGGTGCTCATAAAATAACCTGTGTTCTCTCACCATAAAGCCCTTGTGTGCATCAGGGGCTATTAACAGATCTTGTAAAACTCCCTAAGTTTGGCATCCTTCTGAATTTCAGCCTCTAAGTCATCCAAAGATGACCAATGAATCCGAGACATTGCCCCAAAAATCATTTGTTATGAAAGAGCATCAGCTACTTGATTGTCTTTTCCCAGTTGACATTGGATCTCGAAGTCGAAACCCAACAATTTAGAGATCCATTTTTGCTGATCTTCAATCAATGCCTGCTGGCCTGTCAAAAATTTCAAACTTCGTTGGTCAGTTTTGATAACGAAAAGTCGTCCCATCAAATAATGTCTCCATTTTTAACCGCAAAGACAATTGCCATTAATTATTTTTTGTATACAGACTTGGCTAGGGCCCGATCGGAGAAACCGTGGCTAAGGAAAGCAAGAGGACTATGGTCTTGCACCAACACAACTCCAATTCCCTTACCTGATGAGTCTGTCACTACTGTAAATGTTTTGTTGAAACCGAAACTGAACTCATCATGGTCTTTAATAATTGGAAACAACCTTCTGCCTCTTTGCTCCACATGAATCCATCCTTTTTTAATAATTTCGTAAACATTCTGAGGAATGGGCCATGAAACCATAGCTTTGATTTTTTCCGGATCAGCTTTGACACCTTCTGTAGACACACAGTGACCCAAGTACTCTATCTGTTTTTTTTCCAAAACTGAATTTCTTCCGGTTGGCCACTAAATGATGTTGCCTTAACACCTCAAAAACAACCCTCAGATGGTAAATATGTTCTCCCTGGCTACTACTGTAAATTAAATATATCATCAAAAAGAACCAATACAAATTTTCTCAAAAATGGCCTCAGAATTTCGTTCATCAAGTCCTGAAAGGTACAGGGGGCATTGGTTAGCCCGAAAGGCATCACTAGGTACTCGTAATGCCCCTCATGCGTCCTGGACGCAGTTTTATGAATGTCCTCTTCCCTCATTTTGATTTGATGGTATCCAGATTTCAAATCTAGCTTGGAAAAAATCCTGGATCCTCCCAACTCATTTAATAGTTCGTCCACCATAGGCATGGGAAATCTATCAGGGATAATAATTTTATTCAGCACTTTGTAATCAATACAGAAGCGCCAACTCCCATCTTTTTTTTTAACGAGAATAACCGGACCAGAATAAGGACTCGTACTATGCCTGATCATCCCATTTCTAAACAACTCAGTCACTAATGCTTCAATTTCAGATTTCTGGTAATGGGGGTAACTGAATGGACGAATATTTGGTACTTGACTTCCTGGCTTCCAATGTATCGCATGGTCAATGGGACATGCTGGTAGCAGCTCTTTAGGTTCACAATAAACTTCTTCAAATTCTGACAGTAACTGGTCAATTTCTGCCCATTCTTCTCCTTCATTTTCTGCCTCTCCTTCGGTTGATTTAAGATAATAACCTTGTCCTTGCTCCCGTAAAGCCTTAGTGATAGACTTCAATGTTTGGCTTGAAGAAAGTCCTAGCAAGCTTTGTAGAGAAAGTTGTAACGATTTCTCTAACTCGCTAACGTCTGACACAGGGGTCATTACCTCTCTGTCTCGGTTTCCCTCTTCTTCCTACACTTCGTCGTCGACCAGCAGCACATGAAGTTAACGAACCTGACACTAGTGATTTGGATGCCATCTCTCATCAAACTTAAAACAAAGACCTCTTTGTTGTCTGTCGCGCCATTCAACTTGCGATAGCCATCGCATCTGACCTAAATTGCTTTCTCCGGCGCAGTTTCCGATGCTGGACGTTGTAGCCTTCGCTGCAATTCCTTCACTAGGGCTATCTGTGTGAGCATTCCGTGGAAGTGAATGTCCCACGCAGGTAGTACTGGAACCAGCACTAGAAGTGTGTCAGTTGAGCCGGTTTGCATTTCCTGAGCCCGCACCCGTCACAGCCCAGGATTTATTTTTTGTTGAGCCTGAACTCCTTGGTTGGCCCAGATTCGACTGGATCAGCCCTGTTGTCCAATTTCTCCCAACCCTTCTTCTCTCCAAGCTGCGTTCCTCCGTTCAACCTTGATGGAGAGCTTCATCATGTCCGTTAAACTCAGCTCGACGACATCATCAGTTCTTCCCTTATGCTACTGCGTACTCAATTCAACCACGCTCCCTTGAGAAGGTCTTCGTCTCCAATCTGTAGGGCACCCACCATCTTCTCAAATTGGGCCCGGAAGTCCACCACGATCCCACCATGTTTGAGCGTATATAATGCTCTGTAAGGATTGTCTAGTGCATCTGGCTGGAAGCGGCTAAGCAACTCAGGCCTAAAAAATTCCCAATTAGCGTTAAGGTTGTTCACCCCCCACCAATAGAACCAATTGAGTGCTTCCCCTTCAAGGACCACCAACATCATGGCAACCTTCTCCATTTCTGCTATGCCATTTACCGTGAAATATCGTTCCACTTTGCTCAGCCACCCAAAAGCATCCTCACCAGAGAACATAGGAATCTCCAAGCGTCTGCCTACCGGAATATTCGGATTAACTCGCCTTCCATTTCTTCTTTCTGGCGAAACAGAATCTTCGTCATCTAGGTCATTTTCCTCGTCGCGAGAATGGCTTTGTCTCCTTCTAGCCATTTCATCCAATCTTCTAATAATGCCATTCATTCCAGCCTCGTTAACTTCTAATCTCTGAAGCACCTCATCGTGATTCGCATTGTTCCTGCACGGTCCTTCCTCCAAGAGTGCCAATCTTGGGCCCATGTTGCGTGTCAATACCATCCACAGAGCTCCAAGATCGGAGCTCTGATACCAATTTGTTACGAATTTCCACTCAACAATGAACAAACAACTAATAACAGGGACTAATAAACTAATAACAAAGGTATTTTTGGCCTGAATACATCATATTTTTTATATAATTTTCCAAGGAACAATTACAAGACAATTAAACATAAACAAGTTCAGAATTACACAAAAGAAGAGGAAATACAATGAATCGTAAATTACAACAACAAGGAAATACTCAAGATAATTCTAGAGCAATTATAGAGGCTCTAAGCTATCCCATTCACCAAAAAAGGTGCCCAAGGTTATCAGTCTCCAAAGATAATCCTCCCTTGCCACCAACGCTCAATATAACCAACTCCCTCACACTTCATGTTCAATTCTGTTACGGGATATTCATGTAATATGCTCTACTATTGTAATGGTCCTTTTGGGCCATTTGAGCCCAATTCTTTCTGGTCTTATCCCTCTTGTATGTCTTGGCCTAATCCTTGGATGCAATTATAGTGTGAAATTAAATGATAAGCATGTGGTACTAGCAATAGTTGTTGTAGATTTGCAGTTATTCTCTACATTAGTAAATTTAGAGATGGAAATCAAATTTTAATTTTCAAGAAAAATGCAGTTGAATAGAACGTCTGACCTCAATTTCCTTTACATGTCTCTCATCATAACCTGATTCTTCAACGACAGTTAAATATGAAGCAATTAGAAAATCTCCAAGATACTTGCGAAGGAGATTAGAAGTTGTCTGATACTTCCCATTTCTACATTAGACAAAAAGTGAGTTTTAGAACTCTACATTAAAATTCTCATATCTACAGTAATGCAATGAACTCACTCAATTAAATCATCAGTGCAAATAGCAAGCCATCGTTTTAATGAAGAGCTCTTCCGGCGAATTCCCCTGAAGGCATTTGGAGGTGCTGGCAAATTTGGAAGGGACAAGTTGACAATATCAACTGAACTCACATCGTTCAATTGCCCAAGTGAATTTAGCAAAGTGTCATCACTAATACCTCCAAAAGATTCTGCAAATCAATAATAATAATATAAGTTGATTGAGCCAAAAACAAAAAGTGAAGAGGATGAAATATTTATCCACATGAAATTGAAGGACCACAGTTGTTGCAAATGATCCTACCATGCAATAGCTTTCCACCAATTGTCATAAACTCTTTCAAGAGCTTACTCAAACCCCAGCTACGTGGATGCTACAAAATCCATTCAAAGCAATAAATAAAAGGAACTGGTGAATAGAAATATACGACATGCTACAGGGAAAGATGAACCACCTTCAGCGGATCAACGTTACTGAAGACAATCTCATCCACCACTGCTTGCATGTACCTATAAGTTCATCCAAATATACAAAAGAGTAGTAGAAGAGGAAATATAGCTATATAAGAATACAGTTTGATCACGAAAAGTGGACAAAGACCAATGACTCTAACTAAATATGTTGCATATAGATAAGGTAAATATTATGTTAGAAACAAGTACCAGTGTATCGTGAAATATCGTAATCAGGAAAACTGTATCTTAGTATTTATTACATAAAGGGCAAAAACCCGGAGCACAAGGCTTCCCAACTTGTGAGGATAGGGGTGAGGGTTGATTGTATGCAATTTTACTCTTACATTTTTTGCAAAGAGACAATTTCCCAAATTCAAACCCATGACAGTGTATTTATTACATGCATTATATAAAGGGTTTATCGTTTCTCCACCAACATGAAATAAAGTTATCTCCATCAACCCCAAAACCAGTGTTATTAAACCCGACCCGGGTATCGACCCGGTTGGGGTACAGGGTTACTGGGTCACTCGTCGAACCGGTTTACCCGAATATATATAAATATATAAAAAAATATAAACATATAAATTTAATTATATTCTCCATATCTAAAATGAGTTAAACAAGGTTCACTAAATAAGCTCAAAAATTACCCAATCACACTTTTACAAGTTCATAAAGCACAAATAAATGAAAATGCACGTTATTACTATATCAATTTAAATTGCAACTCAGAATCTCCATAAGCATACCTCTCAATGACATTCAAAAGGCCAGATGTTGTGAACTCATTTTTCAAATTCATCTACGAAATGGCATGTCACATTCTCTTAATTTATTGCTCTACAAATTGCTTCAATATTGGAAGCTGAAATTTGAGGTCATTGTAGAAGAGTATACTACTAGCAAATAAAATTACAAAAAATTTTAAAATGAATTCTACATTTTTTTTTCAAACAAGATGAAACAATTTTCGTTTTTGGTTTTTTTTTTTTTTTTAAATTGAATGACCTGACCGGGTCACTGGGCGATACATGGCCGGTCTGATGCTTGACTCGAACCGGTCCGATGACTGGTTCGCCGGGTTCCGGGTCAAGCCAGGTTTCATAACTCTGCCCAAAATAACATCGTTTTAAGGGTTGAGGGAATTAATGAAGGGTATTTTAAGAATTTTGATTTGTTTCTTGTTATATGAATTTTACCAAAACACCCTTCATTAATTTCCCAAATCCCCCAAAACGACGTAATTTTGGGATTGACGGAGATAACTTTATCTTATGTTGATGGAGAAACGATAAACCCTTATATAAATATCTTTGTATTCATTATATAAATATTATGTTGGAGTGGAGACACATGGTTTCTTTTTTCAAAATAAAATTTAGATACTGGTTGTACATTATTTCATACTAAATATCAACCAATAAAGGATGCCACATGTGAAGAAAAATAGAATGAGCACGAAATGAGGCGTTTCCATCCACATGCCGGAGATGAAACTTTTCCTTCTCAAACATACATGATCAAATCACACATCAATTTTTTATTCTCCGACCTTCACAAAATGCCAATACATGCTAATCAAAGTCACCTTCCAATTGCAATATGTTTTTAAATATCTTATCTGAAGGTAAGATTATGTACAAGGATTGTCCTTAACTTTACCCTCACTAGTTGGGGTTTAATGGGGAGTGGTTAATTGAGCCATAATGACTCTTGACTTTGATGGTAAAGTTATACTTATTTATACCATCCTATCAAGAAAGTTAATAGTGCAGGGCATAAGAACGTATATTAAGGTCTCTGTTTAGGACCTAGGGTTTTTAATTATGTGGGGAAACTAAGGATTAGGTTAGTACTAAAAACAAGGACAGAAAAGGAAGAACTGTTTCTAGGCCAGGGCCACGATTCAGGTCAAGAACTAAAATTGTTCATGCTCCAAAGAAATAGTAAAGACTTGGATAGATATCTAGCTTGAAAGATGTAATTCTAATGATACCTCACATGAACTTCATCCCAATCTTGAATAATGAAATAAGGCAATAAAATGCCTAAAGGGTTGACCAAATAGAATGAAATATAAGGCCTAATTAAACTATAAATAATAGGACCTGAATAGTAGCTTCTGTACTAGGATGGTATTCTCTGCAACCAAGCCTATAGGATACTTAATACGCTATTAAACTAGTTGGTTTAATTAGTGAGACAATTAGGAGGTTTGTTAATGACTACTAGCTGTGATCCGATGTCAATAACACAAGAACTTAATTGGAACTCCCTAACAGAACATGACTCATCATCCCTGAAAGACATTGTCAGATAGGATAGGCATAAGAGAGTAGGCATTAAAGAATTAGACGAGGGCTAGAGGTAAAACAGTGTGTATGATCAGTCCACAGGTTAATATTTATACTATGTACAGTATTAATTCCAAGAGTAATCATCTCCTAAATTAGAGCTAATCAGTACTATTCACCCATGAGTCAGTAACAGCTAATACTAATCATATACCTGTGCTTAAATCAATCATTTAATTCTAACAGGCATGATTGAGAATTTATATGCACTCACTGTAATATGTGTTGGGAACAGCTTTCATCATCTCCGGTTAAGATTAACTGCCTTAGATCATAAACATGCTTTCGTTGCACCTGATAAAACAAGAAATGCAAAAGCAAATTAGTTGGTACAGAATATTTGCAGATAAAGAACCAAACATAAATGTGACGAAGTGGAGGAAAATTCTGGTTCAATATTCATTAACTAAATGTGAGACTTCATATCAATAAAAAATAACAATAATAAATGCATGACTAACTTTGTATCTGTTTATTTCTTTTAGAGGGTCTGGAAGTTTATTATTGGAAGTTATTCTTAATAATTGAACAAAGTTCACTACAGAATCTATAAATTTTCATTATAGAAAGTCCACGTAATTCAAGTTTTATGTAGTTGAATCAACCTAGAATATCACAAGAAACTGTAGTTATTAGACTGTAGACAACATCTAACTGATTACACGAGTTCGCTGTAGTATGTTTTTTGTAATATCTCCTCACAATAGAAACATACCTCCAATACTTCATCAAACTCAACGAGGTTCTTTCTTATGCCAAAGAAAAACTTTTCTGCATTGATTTGCAATGCCAAGAGCTATAAATATATGATGGTCCCTTGTTAGTAGTGGAAAGATGACATTCATCAAGCAAAGAATACAACAAATATATGAATATATAAAATTAGGAAAACGATCAAATGGAAAAGGACAATACATAAATAGAAGAAAAAGAAATCAAAATAATCCACTGCATTTGTTATGAAAGAAGCAATTCTTTTAAAGTGAAAGAGAAGAGTAGAAAAGCAGAAGATAAGACATTCTCATAAAATCAAATATTTAATGATCAATCATAATGTTAATAAGTAGACTATAACCTGCTTTACAATGGCATCACCCTCGATTGGCAGATCTTCGTCATTTGTAATCTTTGAGATGAGTCTCACAGCCCATTCAGTATCAAAATTGAACTTTCGAAACATCTCATCCTGCAAACTATAACATGATGGGATATAGTGTGAGAACTGCTTGACAGCCCTTAATTAGTAAAGCAAATGCTCAGTCATCATGCTAACCTCAGAAAACACAAGAAGGAAAACAAATAACAAAGAAGCAAATACAACAGCTCAACCATAAAACTCAAGGTTCTTACTTTTTAAGAAAAAAGACCAGGACACCAATCCAAGTTTATACTTCAAGGAAAATGTATATTAATCACAATAACGATGTTTTTTTGTTTGCTGTAATGCTGTTTTATATTTCAAAAGAAACTTCAAATGCACATAAGGAAACTTTAAATTCTAATTTGACCTTCCAGTTTTAATTGCGTAATGTTCCTTACAGCCTCTATCAACCAAAAATCTTTTTCCTTGCACCAACAGTGTAGAATATCTCCTCTGAAATAAATCAGCATATATAACTGTTGTAATAAGTCCCGTATCAATCTGGCACAGTTCGCCACATATTATTCTCAGTATATCATTGTGATTATTGTAAAATATTCTGTTATCATCGTTTGGTCATTATATTAGGAAAATAATTATTTAGTCAGGTGTACATATTGGAATGAATCCCATGTCCGGTATTATTCAAAAATAATATTTACTATTTTCCCATTCAAGTTGGTATTAGAGCTCTCAGTTCCGGGAGACTGTTTTTGCGAAAAACCGTAGTCTGCCTTTGCAACTACCGCCTTCATTGCAGCACATTACCATCAGTTCAAACCTTCATCATGCCCAATCCCTTCCCAGCCACCGCAGCCACCACCATCCACCCCAATCTCTATGTCCAGCAACCCACCAGAAGAGTTTCCGTTTGCTACTCAGCCCACCACCAAAGACCCAACTCCAACACCCCTCCTAGTACTCTCTCACATGCAGCTCAAGACCTCTAGGTGTGAGTCCACGTGCCTCCACTTCCGATAGTGTGTTGAGCCTTCACTCAACCTGCTGTTGGAGCAATTGAACTCCTCTCAGTCTCCTCTACTCAGATCTGCCTTACCCAATAATCAAAACAATATTTTGTCTACGAATAAGACTAAGCATCACTCCCTTTTGGTTTATATAATTTGACAAGACCTGCTTAGACTTCTATGCATATAAAAATCATTTAGTAATAGTAACAGCAGCAGTAGTAGCATACTATTACTACCTGACCATAAATCGTGTTGATCCTGGATCCCCCTGTCTTCCTGCTCTGCCACGGAGCTAGAGAAAAGATTATAACAAATGCATTAACAAAATTTGAACTAAGCGTGTGCCAGGGGTAATGATAATAACATATTGCCATTAATATATGCAGAAGAGGAAAAGATCTTGATCAAAATTATAATGGCTAAGCAGAACTTCTAGTATAGTATGTCCCAAACTCAAAAGAATCCTCAAGAACATCTTATTGGAGGCATGAGAAACATTTATTAATGTTTGAATTGTGATTACCCAGTGTTTTGTAGATAACATTTTGATACCAAATTCAAATAATTCCTAAACCGAGCAGTAACTGAATGAAAAAATGAAAATATTCCTTGCATATGGATAGCCAAAGGAGTCAAAGACATACATCTTAGAAGCCAGGTGTGTGTATGTGCATATATATGAGGGAGAATCTTCCGACTCCGGTGTTACGTCCATCTGACGGCTGTAGTTTATTGAGTTATACTCATTAATTAATTATTAATCCCTAATAATACAAAGATAAGCGACTGAAATGAGGAGTAAGTCTGAAATGTGTGTTCCCCCTTTCTCTCTCCTCAAATCTCCACACTTCAACAGGGAGAGTCAAGGGGAAATAACTTTTCCCTTATTTTCAATACAATTTAATATTTTGCTCCCTAGCAAAATTAATAAAGAATTTCAGAATGTCATATTACAGAGATAAATGGCTGAGGTAAGAAGTAAGATTTCTTATACCGGAATCAAAAGATCCTCTCTTTTATATATATATTTGTTCCCCTTTTCTCCTTCATCAAATTTCCACACTTCAGTGGAGGGAGTCAAGGGGAAATAACTTTTCCCTTATTTTCAATACAATTTAATATTTTGCACCCTAACAAAATTAATAAAGAATTTCAGAACGTCATATTAGGATTGTTAAACTGTTGACATCTTCCCCTCCCCATCAGTTACCCAAAGAGAATGATACAGCAAAGACAATGTCAAGATATAACACACTACCACTTAGACTGTTATCATGCTTAAATCCCCACCTGGTTATCTATTCTACGGGACTCATGTAAAGATGTACCAATCACATGAAGGCCTCCAAGCCTTTTTACCACAGACCCTTCATGCAAACAGTGTTCTTCACAATCCTTCAAAACTGACAGATAGGCAAGTGCTACTGTTGGACCAAGAGGGTAGATCTCAGATTCTTCATTAGCAAGCTTCTCCAGGTCCTCCAAACTATATGAAAGACTCATTTCAACAGCCTCCAAGATAAAAGATTTAGCCTTCTGATATGTCCAACTTTTACCCTCACTTTTGGATACATATTTGGCTGAATAATTCATGTTGCAAAGAATATAACACCTTCAAGTTAACAGCATGTAATTATGACCAAAATGAACAGAATTTCATATGAAAAAGATTCCCAAGTAGAATCACAGACCCATTAAGGCTGTCTTAGCCAGCAAGGCCAATGATGACGATCCAACATTTATCTTTGGAAGCACCTACATCAAAAGATTCATTAAAAACAGAATTCTTTAATAAAGAAAATTAAAACACAATAAGTAACAGACAGAGTTACCTTTTGTGAAATAGCCTCACCAGCAAGTTCAAGATTTGGATCCTCTCTTGTCAAAAATGAAAGTAAGCTATCCTCTATGATTTCTCTGGCAAGCATCTATATTACGAGGAAAAAATATGTGAAGTCACTACTAAGATCCAACTCATGCCAAACTGACTTGCCAAACAACACAGACATCATCTAATTACAGAAGAGATGCAAATGATTTGATTGTCTAGACATTCAAGAAATCATAGACAAAACATGCTAGGATCCATATTGTTTTCACAGAACACTAGCAGCAAATAACTACTCTTAGTGGCACCCCTACTTTTGGATTTCCTCCGAGGATTATATCTGTGCCCCTGCCTGCCATATTTGTAGAGATGGTAATGGCATGTTTCTGTCCTGCCTGTGCAACAATTTGAGCTTCTCTTGCAGCATACTGAATTAAATGAAGGCCGGAGGAGAATCAGTGAGAGAGGCAAAGCTTAAAAACAAAAATTGAAACACTATCTTAGATGTCGTATGCAAGAGAAAAACAACAAATGCTTCTGAAGATACCAACAAGTTATACTTTCACAAACCTTGGGTCGAGCGTTCAGAACATTATGGGGAATATTCCATTCCATAAGCAGACCAGCCAAAATTTCAGAATTTTCTACACTGCATAGGAAAAAAATGGAAATAATTATTCTCCCAAGTCTCAATTGTAGATAACTGAAAAGCTTATGCAGAAACAAAATTAATATATAGCCCACACAAGTAAAGAATCCAAGGTAAAAGTTCCATTATGATAAGATACAACAAATGATTATGATGATGAAGAGGGAAGTGGTGGCTTAATGTGAACCAAGGTGGGTAAAAAAGCGTAAAACCTATAACAAGACTATCATACAGTGATTTAAATTCAATACTGTAAAGACATGCACTAATGCCACACATAAACATCAAAACCTAAGCGAATAAAATTTCATTCTTTCAATAATAATTAAACAAAAAGAGAGGTTTGTCAAAAACCAATTCTCCTATAAGCTTGCTTATAGGGACACTGAAAATGCGGATGAAGCCCATTTGGACTTGCCTCCTCAAGTAAAAGCCCCTTTGGGTTTGAATCACGGACAAAGCTTGAGTTGTTAGCGGTAGACCTAATAATGGTTTATAACTCAAACAAATAATAACACCCTAATTTCTTGCAGAAACTGTGGCATCATCAATAATTTAAAAGTTCAACTTTCTTTCAATTGATTGATTTTGAACTCAAAACTCAAAAGGACCACAGAAATATAAATTCTACCCTGCTCAATATTGATCTGATCAACAGATAATAAAATATGGACACACTAGAACAGCAAAAACCAAGCTTTATCCCATTAGATGGGGTTAGCTACATTGATTGATCGACGACAATGGGCTCTAATAAAAAAAATTCAGTAAAGCATTTAGGCAAGAATGTTTTTTAACTGTTTCTTCTAATAATACGGACACTAAAAGCAGTTAATGTATAATTAGTAACAGACAACATTGAATAGATTGTGAATATTAATTATTTGTTTATAAAAATTAATTTCAAAACAGAAAAGAAAGACTAAATTATAAGTACAACAAGGTATCCTTTTTAAAGGTACAAGAGACATTACAAGGAAGTTCAGAAAACAATAAAACTCTTCAATCCATATGCATATCTGTCAACAACATTTCCCTGAGAAGGGGAGCATATATGCATAGGTTCTTCTTTTTTGAATAGAACCTATCATGTATTTCAGAGCTTTTGGCTCAGAAAGAAGTATTTGTAATGATCACTTGTTCTGAAAAGAATGCAAACCATGATGAAGTAATAGACAACATTCATTAGAACAGCCATCATACTTACCTAGTTGTCCCAACTAAGACAGGACGACCTTGTCTAAACATATATTCAACTTCTCGGCGAACTTGCTCCCATTTCCCACGAGCAGTCTTGAACATTCAATTAATAGAAAAATCATACACACTTCAAAGTAATGATTTTATATCATGGAAAAAATCATATTATAGCAACTAAAGATACTTAAGAAGCAGCAATAATGAATATTAGATGTCTTACAGCAAATGCTTGAATAGGCAAATCTTTTCGAATATTAGGAAGATTTGTGGGCACTTCAATGACTGGCACCTGGAACATTTTTAAGAACTCCTTCTCCTGCGATGATATATATCGTCACCAAGAACTCATAATTGCACAAATTATAATAGTAATGACAAATAAAATGTGAAGTCAGAACTGTATAAATCTTTACTTCTGTTTTAGCAGTCCCAGTCATTCCTGACAACTTTGGATAGAGCTTGAATAATGACTGGTATGTGATCTGTGCCACAACAACAGAATCTGCCTGTGCAGGTTTAAAACATTGAAACTTAGAATCAAATAATTATGAACAAATGAGTGTCATGGAACAAAATGACAAAATCAAAGAACCACCTAATATACCTGAATCTTCAAGCCTTCCTTTGCCTCCACAGCCTGGTGAATTCCCTCAGACCATCGCCTTTTCTCTTCAACTCTTCCCGTAAGCTGCAAAATTATCAAAATTTTGTCCATCATATCATCAGATTCTTAAGAAAAGTATCAGCAAACAGAAGAAAACAGAAAAATATTTGATTAGTTATTAAAAGAAAATGAAAGCTATATACTGCTGCTAGAAATACAGGAAAATAATATGATTAAAGATATAAAACCATTCATGTTTTTATAGGTTTGATGAGACCCTTGAGCCATATATAGGAGCTAATATTAAGGGCCCAGTACAATTTAAACCATGCAAGGATTTTTCTCATACTAAATTAAGGCTGGAAATATTACACTTTCGCAAAAATCCTATTAAATTGTTATCTTCACCGAGATTAATATATCATTTAAGTGTGATTTTTCAGATACTAGAGGCAGAAATTTCAGTAATTGCTGAGTATATACTAGATTCAATTATCTGGATATCATAGTAATAGGCTACAGAGCTATGTAACTAAAATATGTTTTCTTCTGCTATGTTACAGTTATTTTTAACGGACATGTTGTCTATTATACCATAGGGAAAAACCTTATTTCATCTGATACCCTATGTCAATTTATTGTTATGTATGAGCTTCATCTGTAAATAAAAACTGCATAATATTGAAAACATAAAGAATTCTAGAAAATATTACCTCATTGATAATTAAAGCCTTCCCATCTCTAACAATGTATTGCACATCACGGCGATAGAATTCTTTAGCTTTTAAAGCATTCATCACAAATCTGCAGTAACACAACTCTTTTAACTCGTGTAACTGATTGGACAGCAATAATCCAATTCCAACATGTTAGCCAGAATTTCCCCAGAAAGCAACTAGTATTCTATTATTATAACCATTATGATTATGACAATTAGGGTAAATCTCCAGCGAAGAATGCACCCCAAAAAAAATATGATTACAAATATAAGGAGTAAAATGGAGAAAATAGCAAAGCATGTGACCTTTTTAAACAGGTATCCTTTACATACATGTTGAGGGATTGGGTAGTTTTTGTTCGTTGTCATTTTGTTTTCTCTTTCTTAAGGAGGATTTCCTATCCTTTTCCTTTGTAAAATTCTGATACGATCCCAACTTTAAGGGTGCATGTGAGGAAACATTGTAGGGGAATAATCATTTTGCTGACTCAAGTTAGTTATTGTTGAGATATATAAAAAAAAAAAAAACTATTAGTGTAGCTTCACCCAACAGCTTAAGCTTTTGGGTTGAATTGGTTCTTTACATGGTATCAGAGCTTCGTGTCCCGGGTTCGATCCTCACCGCCCCCTACTATCTCTTGTGGAATTTTCTTAACACAGGTAGGTGGGCCTGTGCATTGTCCACCCTTCAAGCCCAGTGGGCTCTCGTTTGAGGGGGCGTGTTGAGATATATAAAAAAAAACCATTAATGTAGTCTCACCCAACAGCTTAAGCTTTTGGGTTGAATTGATTCTTTACAGTTATAAAGAATATTCTAGATAGAAAGAGTAGAGTATCATGTGCGTAGGAATAGTATTGGGGGTAGCTGATATATTGGTAGTCAGTTATAAGGAGCAGGGGAGATTGTGGAAGGGCATCTTGGCATGTGGAAAACCTTGGCTGGGCAACCAGATTGGGCTGGAGATATCTAGATTTGGGAGAGTTCCGTCGAGTCTCTCGAACAAGCTCTAGGACTATCTTTTCTTGTCTTCTTCTTCATCTCCAATGTAATCATGTTCTCTGTGTAATCTTTCCTTCTATGTGGTTTAGTTTTTCCCATGTACTTTACAGCTTATGGTGTAATTTCTCATAGTTGTTATTGCTGTAAAACCAAAAAAAAAAAAAACCAGAAATAAATACATCATGTGTTGATTTGCGTCTCGTTTCCCTTGCTGCCTTTTTTTTCTGGTTAGACTCTATCAAATTGGTATCAGAGCTACAATCTAGGAGCAGTGATATCAGTTAAAAAAAAGTTATGATTCCAAAATTTTATGGAGATGGAGATGAAGCTTGGGGATGGCTAATCGATCTCAAACAATATTTCCAGGCAAAGAAAACCCTTGAAGATCAGAAGTTGATAGAGGCTGAGAGAGGACTTAGAGGACCTACGTACAGATGGTATAAATGTTGGCGTTGGTTCAATCCTAAGGCAAGTTGGTGGAACTTTAATAAGGTATTTATACAAAAATACCCTCCTGAGAATCTGAGATTTGTTTGTTAGATGATAATGTAGAATCTAATGCCCCAAAACCAGCACCTGAATTGCAAACTGAATCAGTGTCAGGGAAGTCAGATGCCATGAAAGGAGAAAAGAAGCTGGAAATCATGGAGAGAGAGACGGTGAAGGAAGAGACGCCAGTGGTTGATGAAAAGGAAGATGGAATGAAGAAAGTTGAGATTCCGGAAAGCAAACATGCAAGAGTTCAGAACGCAAAAATTGTAAACGAAGACCTAGGGGAGTTTGAGATCGAAGAATTTTTTCAAGATGCGCAAGTGTCAGCATTCCCCCAACCTCCAGAAGTGGTGGTCTACCCACCTCCATCCCCAGAGTCGCCTGACTTGAACGATCGTAAGAGGGAGAAATTATTGTTGAGCAGCTATGGAGGAAAGCGGCTGCGAAGGCATGAGAAGATGAAAGAGGAGAAAATTAGGTCAGGGGGTGCTCTACACAAATTGGGCCAAGTTGTTGACATATTCCCAGCCCAACACAATGATATGGGTTCCCCATTCATGGGTTTAGCTGAAAATTACTCTACTCAATCCGATCTAATTAGATCCAAAATAGATAGATCGTACCCATATGGAAACATCATCTTGTTAGCAACGTCTTTTACGAAAGGTTTCAAGTCCCACAAAATTGATTCTATCACTTCAGCATGCCCTAATCAATCACAGAATCAAAGAAGCAATTAGAGGGCGGTGTTTCCATCTTGCAAAGCATGGGTAATGATTACTATGGCAAGAGTAGGGACTTTCTGGGATATCTATCTCGTAGGATAAAAATTGGTAATTCTATGACTCTGTTATCAATGGCAGAACTAGAGTAATCCCCCAAATTCAAAGAAATTCGTTTAAGGGTGGAAAAGATAGCGAAGGGGAGTCAAAACTAGTTGAGTGTAAACCTGGTCTGACCATTTTGGTTTGTTATCCTAAGCTATTGAAGATGCAACTGGGTTATAATGATATAAGATATTCTGTCCTCGCAATACCCTCAAAGCAAATGAATTTCAGCCTGTGGGAAAGACTCTTCCTGAATTGGATTGACACTTGGAGTCTAAATGGTCTTCATTTTTGGCCACGACAAGAGAAGGATGTGAACCATATGAGTTTATCATATCCAGCTACTGGCTTTCTACAAGAAGTAATGGAGGAACTTTTCAAGAATTATAAAAGTGGTGCAAATATTTGGTTTGGACTTGGAGGAGGATTTTTTGGTTGCCCACCGCACAACAGGAAGTGCAGCAGCTTAGATTACTATAGATGGGTCTCTATCTTCGAATATGGGGAGAAGCCACCAAATTAAAGTTCCTAACTGGATGGCAGTTCTATATCGATTATCATATGGTTTTTGAATTGTATGATATGCTTGGTAGAGATTTCAGCCCAACAACTAGTTTGGAAGGTCAATTTATATTGTCTACTTGACCAAATATCAGGTTTGTATGGTTGTTGGTCTACTGCAGAGCATATTCATATAGAGCTGAAGAAGGGCAATGGTTAAGTTAAATGTAAAAGAATACGTTGTTTTTTGATCTGTGTCAGGGAGTTACAATATATAGAGATCCTAATGGGCTTAAGTGTAAGGCCCAAACCTAATCCAAACCTAATCCTAATACAGTCAGAATACAGTCAGACTATTTACGGATAAGACAGAATCCAATCATATCTAATCAAATCTAATCATATCATATCTAATATTCTAACACTCCCCCTCAAGCTGGTGCGTATATATTATGAGCACCAAGCTTGTTACAAATGTATTCAACCCGAGGACCTCTAAGAGCTTTAGTGAAAACATCTGCTAGTTGATTAGATGAGTTGACAAAAGCTGTCTTGATTTCTCTTGACTGAATCTTTTCCCGAATGAAGTGACAATCAATCTCTATATGTTTGGTCCTCTCATGAAAAACAGGATTAGAGGATATATGTAGCGCAGCTTGATTATCACAGATGAGTGTCATGGGTTGTTTCTGTTCACAAAGATGAAGCTCCTGAATCAACTGCTTTAACCAGATCAACTCACAGGTAGTATTTGCCATTGCACAATACTCAGCTTCTGCACTAGATCGGGAAACAACAGGTTGTTTCTTGCTTTTCCATGAGATTAAGTTTCCTCCGAAGAAGACACAATAACCAGAAGTAGAGCGTCTGTCCGAGGGTGATCCTGCCCAATCGGCATCTGAGGTAGAATCCTTCAGTTTGGAAGATGTAATGAGCCCAATATTAGTAGAGATGATTCCTGAGGAAGTTTTGACAGGAGGACAAGGAGAGTTAACCTCCGAGAGATCAGTGGACGCTGCTGCCATTTAAAAACAGAATATAAAAGCCGTAAATGAAGGCAAACGATATCCAATCAAGGAGAACCACGCGTCTAAAGTGAGACCCACAAAGAACCAAGCACAGATCCAGAAAGAGGAGAAGAAGGCGAGAAGTTCTGTCCAAGAACGGCCGGAAAAATCCACCGGAACAGTGCACACGCGCCGGTTGAAGGTGGCGCGTGAGCACCACGCGCAGAGGAGAAGAACAGCGCGTGGAGGCGCGTTGATGACGCGACGGTGGTCGGACCACCACAGAACTGGTCGCCGGGATGAGACGGTCCTGATCGCAGGTAGTCTGGGCTGAAAACTCGCCGGAACAGTGCTCTGGTGGCCGGAACAGTGACGAGCGGCGGTTGTTGGCGGCCGGAAGTGGTTCCGGTGGCCTGAACAGTGACGAGCGGCGGTTGTTGGCGGCGGGAAGTGGTTCTGACAGTTGAAGAAACAAGCCGGAGAGACACACGGCTTAGAGAGAAACTCGCCGGAAGAATGCACGGTAAAGTAGAAGAGAACACCTAAGCAGTGGGCTTAGGGTTTTAGCGGAAGCGGATCCCCAGAGCGAAAAAGCTCTGATACCAAGTTAAATGTAAAAGAATACGTTGTTTTTTGATCTGTGTCAGGGAGTTACAATATATAGAGATCCTAATGGGCTTAAGTGTAAGGCCCAAACCTAATCCAAACCTAATCCTAATACAGTCAGAATACAGTCAGACTATTTACGGATAAGACAGAATCCAATCATATCTAATCAAATCTAATCATATCATATCTAATATTCTAACAGGTTATTAGTTGTTGGTCACCTTAATTTTTTTAGGGTCGCTCATTGTCATGGGGGCTAAAGAAGGGCAATGAAATCCCGTTGGACTTTATTATGTTTCATGCATAAGTTGGTCCTTACAATTTAAGCAATGGGATCCCGGAGGAGAGTCTTTTGTTGGTTGCTTACACCTTGAGGACAAGGTGTTTGTTTTGAGGGGGGGTATTGATACGATCCCAACTTTAAGGGTGCATGTGAGGAAACATTGTAGGGGAATAATAATTTTGCTGACTCAAGTTAGTTATAAAGAATATTCTAGATAGAAGGTGTGGAGTGTCATGTGCATAAGAACAGAATTGGGGGTAGCTAATGTATTGGTAGTCGATTATAAGGAGCAGGGGAGTGTGTGGAAGGGCATCTTGGCATGTGGAAAACCTTGGCTGGGCAACCAGATTGGGCTGGAGAAATCTAGATTTGGGAGAGTTCCGTGGAGTCTCTTGAACAAGCTCTAGGACTATCTTTTCTTGTCTTCCTTTTCGTCTCCAATGTAATCATGTTCTTTGTGTAATCTTTCCTTCTATATGGTTTAGCTTATGGTGTAATTTCTCATAGTTGTTATTGCTGTATAACCCAAAAAAAAACCACAAATAAATACATTATGTGTTGATTTGTGTCTCGTTTCCCTTGCTGCCTTTTTTTTTCTGGTTAGACTCTATCAAATTCTTATCTTCTTTTATAAGAAAAAAGAAAAAGAAGAATGCAATCATGTACTCTACTCCTTTAGCAGGTTATTGGGATTTTAATGTTATACCATTCGTTAAAAAATTAATAAAAAAAATACCACAATGGAAAAAATCAATAAAGATATTTAATGCCCACCTCCACTTAGTCAAGCAGCCATTGGGATTTCAAAACAAGTAAACAGCAACTAAAGTGAAGTGAATACTTTTTAATTCAACAAATATTCAAAGCATAAGAATATTCACCTAGCCCAAGGATCATTTTCATCCCACAGGTCATTAGTTTCAAGAGCCATTTCAGCAAGAGCAATTCCTTCCTCAGTCAACTCCACTGAATTATCTTTAAGCTCTACTTTGTAATGCTGTTAACAAAATAAAATCCCGTACATAGAACTATTTTCTTGAATTATCCACACAAATTAAGGTTCTTAGAAAGGTCTGAGAGAGAAAATCAGAGTGAATGGTATAATGAAGTGCAAGAATATGTACTCACAGTGCCCTGTATAAGCAGTTCGGCTACTTTTGCAGCAACAGGGTATCGTGCAGCATCTTTACTAGCCTGTGAAAGAGAGGGAGGAGCAACAATCAGTTATCAATGGGCTCACTCAGTTGAAATGATTTTTTTCAATACTACCAATGTGGATATGGAAGGAACAATAAAAAATGAATATTAAGCTTACCTCACCACTGATTAACAAAGGATTTCTTCCTTCATCAATCAGAACAGAATCCACTTCATCAACAATTGCAAAATGAAATGGCTTTGGCCTGCTTGCATGAAGAATAGTCATTAGAAATCCAATCATATCCTAAACCAAAAAGGAAAAAAAAATTAAAATAAGTTCTAAGCTCTAGCTGAGTAATACACACTACCATCTCATTACAAGCCGTTCGCTTTTTCCAGCAAGATTATCTCGCAAGTAATCAAAGCCAAGCTCCTAAGGTAAAAAGGGAAGGAAATGGAACAAAAGAAAACAAGTAATGTAAATAAATATATATACAAATAAAAAGATAACAATGTAAGTAACTGACAAGTGTGACTACCGAATTATTGGTATATGTTATATCACATTTATAGTTGAATCTCCGTTCTTCAGCATCCATCCCCCTCTGTTCATTCAAACATCAGATAATAAGTTTAACAGCATGTGGTGCCGTGAGTTTTTATAAATTAATAAAGATCTTCAATCTTCATACGCATTCACCTTTACAAAAAAAATTGAAAACCAGACCTAGCCCATTTGTACATTACTCATTAAAACATGTGTTGTAATCTATCCCGCCACCAAGCACATCATAGATAAAAAAAAATAAAAAAATTACTACTGGCACAGAAAATTTACCTGAATAAGACCAACGGAAAGACCTAAGAAACGATGAACACGCCCCATCCATTCAGCATCACGTTGAGCTAAATAATCGTTGACAGTCACCACTGCAAAGAAATCAAGGACCAGACCAAGTCACTTTCTTGTAAAGCCAAGTGCTAAACCAATCAACGCTTTAGAAGTATTGGCAACAATAAATACCATGAACACCCTCATCTGTAAGGGCATTAAGATAAGCTGCAAGTGTGGAAACTAAGGTTTTTCCCTCTCCCGTTTTCATCTCGGCAATGGAACCATCATGCAACACTGCTCCACCAATAATCTAACAACAGGAATAACTCAGTAACCTACTTCTAAGTCACTGAGTCAAAAGTAAACATACATACAACACAATATATATATATACACACACACACCTGGACATCAAAATGGCGCATTCCAAGTTTTCTTTTTGCAGCTTCACGAACAACAGCGAACGCCTCTGAAACAATCATTGCAATTCAATCAAAACACAGTTCAAGGACTAAACAAAAAATGACAAAAGAGTTGGAAAAACAAAAACAAAAAAAAAGTGAACCAGCTTGAATATCCGCAAGGGTCTCTCCTCGCGTAAGCCGAAGGCGAAACTCGTGGGTTTTCGCAGCTAACTGTTCATCGGAGAGGGTCTGAATCCGTGGCTCGAAAGCATTGACGGAGTTAACCAGACGGTAATAATCGCGAACGACCCAGTAGTTCAAGCTAGTGAAATCACTGAAACTCTTTTGAACACGACCAAGGTTTTCCTGAAATTAAAAAAAAAAAGTTCACACGCAATTGGGGCTTTCCGTCGAACAGGTAACAGGCATAGAGCGCGAACGCACTGTACCTTCACAGATGCGACAGCAACAACTAATGGTGTGTAACGACGTCGTCGCGCGCCAGGCCATGAAGAAAGAGAAGGACGCGGTGGAATGAAGAAGACATTGGAAGTGGTTCTCTGAACGGCGAAGAATGGTGAATATGAAAGCGCGGCCATAAAAGTGTTGTTGTTGAGCTTATGCAACAGATAGCTTAGTATAATTTGTTTTCGAGTGAAGTTTAATTATGGAAGGAGAACGAAACGTTTGGCGTCCTAAGCATAAATTGAATTTTAAATGATATTATTATTTATAGAATATCTTCCTAGGATACTTGTAATTTCTTCAAACATTTCTGGTGCAATTTCGGCTTAAAACATCTCCAAAATATATTTATAATGGAATCATTAATTAATGGGTTTAGACTTACACTAATAATGTTGTATTAATATTTGGTTTTATGATTTATTTCATGGAAAACACTATCTTTTTAACGAAAATTGGAAAAAGTTTTGGTAGTTTGATATAATAGATTTGTTGAAAAGATAATGAGTTTGTGTTAAGAGTTAGGGACTTCATTTAGAAGTAAAATGACAAATCTAACTACGTTCATGATGATTGGTTTTATTTATGGCAAAGATAATACATATTTTATGAATGGAAGCATGGCTACCATAAAGATTAAAAAATGTCTTTCATAGAACGGTGAAGTATGTTGCCCCCACTTTTTACAATATTCGATGAAGCAGGCCATGTTGAGTTGATCGGTGCAATTTTATTGCTTTTGTCTAAGCATTTGTAGTAGTACCAATTAGCAAGTCTTTAAAGAAAAGCTTGTCATAACGTTGTAATGCAGCCATTTTTTTGACTTTAACAAAATTATAATTAAAGATCTTATAACTCAATTTTCTCTAGGGATAAGAGTCACCTATGTAGTGAAATTAAGGGGGCGATTGGTACATAGATTGTTTTTGGATTCTCGAGAAACTGGTATTGAGAAACCAATTTACTTACGTTTGGTAGAAGATTTTTTTAAATTTTTTCGGGAATTTAATTTTCTCAAAATTCTGATTTGTGAATAAATTATAGAGCAAAACATAATAAAAAGTACTATTTTTATACTACCCTGGCCTTTAAATTTATTTTCACTTATATCCGTTTTTTTTTTCTTTTTTGGGGCAAGGATCGTGTGATCCAAGACCACATAAACTTTTCTCGAGAAGTTGATCCTTTCGTACAAAAGTTTCAAGGCCTTTACATGTAATCTATAATTTTATTTCTTAAAAATGGTCCCCTAATATTTTTTAGGGAAAATTTCAAAAAAAGTTACGTAATTTTCTCAGAATCATTTATCCCTTTTCTGAAATTTTGAATTATTTAGACTCCTAATTTAAAGTTTCTTTATCACTTATCTTCCTAAGTTAGGGGGGTAAGTCATAAAAAAACTTTAAATTAGGAGTATAAATGATAAAGAAACTTTAAGTAAAGACGTAAATGATTCAAAATTTTGAGGAAGAAATAAATGATTCTAAAAGAAACTTACAGGAAATTTTTGAAGTTTTTCCTATTTTTTATATAGTGGAGTTCGTCCATGTTTAGGCATTTTATTATTCAATGAAATGCCCTTAAAATTGTGATTTCCTCTAAGAACTTCTTGAGAAGTTTTCTTATATTTCCTCCATGCATCCATAAGCATGTAATGAATTGAATCAACTACTAAATGCAAATGTAAAATTAGAATGAAGTCATTATTAATTAATGAATTTATGGTACAATTTGAAATAGAGAAAAATATTTGTCATTTTAAATGACACAACTTATATCATTTCACTCTCACAAAGAGGTGGAACTCACACTTTTATATTTTTTTGTCCACTCTCTCTTTCTCTCACTTAAAATAACACAACTTTTTTTTTTTTTGTAAATTAAAATAACACAACTTTACATCCTTTAAAATGATACACATTTTTTCCTTTGAAATAATATTAGATGATTGTCATAATATCAAATTTTCACTTAAGCAATTATAAATTCTATTACTTGAAAAGTTTTAGATTATTGTAAGAGTAAATATCTTTTTTGGTCCTCAGCAAATTTTACGATACCCGCTTTAGTCCCTAGCAAATAAAAAGGCTCATCGTGGTCCCTAAGAAATTCAAAATGGACTCATTTAGTTAAAATTGTGGTCCCTCACAAATTCAAAAAAGACTCATATTAGTCCTCAAAAGAACTAAAATGAATCCATTTTGAATTTCTTAGGGACCACGATGGGTCTTTTTATTTGCTATGGACTAAAACGGACATCATAAAATTTACTCAGGACCAAAAAAGATATTTACTCTTGTTGTAATAATATCACCCTTAGATTCAATTTTACCCAAAGTTAATAATAGTGACCTCGTCATGGTGTATGTTCAGTTATGTTGAATAGAAAATGTCCAGTAAGCCAACAGTCAGATGGAGGAATCGGGGTTGTGAATATACACCAAGAATTTTGATCTTAGTTGATGAATATATTAAAAATGAGACTATATATATTATTATAAGATTTATGTGTGCCTTACGTATATGTTTTATTATTTTATTTTTTTTAACATCTTCAAAGGTTCGTTAAAAACCTAATTAGTTTGATTTGAGTTCTATACTTCTATTGGACCCGGAGCGGCTCTCACAAACCATATATATATGCTTTTATGGGGTGTTTGGTACGAGAGAAATTTTGTATTACCGGTAACAATAAATTATTCGGAATATAATGGTTATAATTTTTGCTTGGGTAAATTACAAAAAGGTATTTGGTAGGCATCAATTTTGCCGGGAAAATTGGATTCTTTTTAGTAATACTACGTTTGATTGAAGGTTAAATTAAATATTGATGGGAATCCAACGTGAAATTACATTTTCTGTCATTATATTAAAATTATCATATGACAAAAACGTACGTTAATAAAGCATTCAGTCAAGTTTGAATTTTGTTTCTGCAAAATATCGTGGATTAAATAAATACCACGCTTCACTTTGCATATTTTTGTGCCTGGGTCTAGTACAAAAATATTTTCTCGGTTGCATTATTATACCGGTTATTTTGGTCAAAGCCACTTACTAAACATGGTAAACATTGTTTACTTACATCACTTTTCCATGATTTCTAAGAGAAGCCACGTACCAAAGAGCCCCTTAATGATCGTGCTTAAACTTGATATGCATTCCCTTCACAAAAGATATTTTGATTTTAAACAGATGCATTGAAACTGTACCAAACTCTATTAGGGGGCGTTTGGTTGGAGGTTTTTGAGGAGATTGATAGGGAAATGTGAAGTGAAAAAATTGGGTGCCCATGTTTAGTTGAGAGAGATTCATAATTTATCTACCTAAATTCATTTGCTAGCAAACCAGTTTATCCATGATTTTGAAGCCAGATAACCGGCCAAACAAACCCTTTGCTGAGGAGGTATTTCTGGTTATCTATGTATTTGGTCATATTGTGTTATAAACAAAAGACGAGCGTACCCTTGGACATACCTTGCGATGATGCTTGAGAGAAAGAAACGGGCATGAGGGTTGCGGATCTAGAGCAACCTTTAGTGGAGCTACTTCCACAAACTAATGGGTTCCCCACAATACTACAAAGTAAAAGTGAATAGCTGCTTTTGAAACAGAGAGTAAACTTTAAAATAATAGAACACTATCTTCTCCACAAACAGAAATAGAATCAAAGAGACACTTAATGGGTTCCCCGCTTTTGATGGTTGCTCACCGGAAAAACTCGACACACCAATTCCAAAGACAGACTTTGTCCTTTTTTTAACATATGGACGTTGGCAACACACATGATTTGCAAATGAAAGTTGGGAAATGATAACCCTCTTTTACGGATAAAGGGTAACAAGGCTGTTTCGTCATTTTTTAAAAACAAGGATATTTTTGTAATATCACATTTTTTCCCCTCTATATTTTACCAAAAGTCAAACATAGATTTTACAAAAGTTACTTAATTTTCTCAGTAAATTTTTTTTCTACCAAACAACTTTTTTTATATGTTCCTACCAAACTCACTTCTCAACCATTTTCCTATTAATCACATTTCCCTATGATTCATAAAAATTTCTCTTCAACCAAACGCCTCCTTAGGAACTACTTATTGCTGGCTAAGTTAAATTTAACCTTCACAGATGCCACATCTCCTACCCTCCACCCTTATTTTCAAAAATAAAATAAAATCTGTAGATGTTGATGCAACTAGAGCAAAATATTTGATCGGCAAAGATGTGGCAGAAACTCACCGATGTGCAGTCCTTATAGTTTAATTTTCATGACAAAGGTATATCCATCCGTTTGTATGCCTGGAAACATGGTCTATGGCCTAATGGCAGTGGCTTTTAGCATCTTAATTAAGTGTTAAATTGTTTGACATGATATTTCAATTTTACTTAACAGGCCTCAGCCTCCTTACTTTGCGACTGTTGCTATGTGAATTTGGACAATGTAAGGCTTATGATTTTACGATGTTAGGTTAAGGGTCTTCTTGGATTAATCAAGGGTAGAAAGATAGCAAATTGAATGGTTAATGCGAGTATTTGAGGACAAGGGAGGGATGTAAACATTGAAGGTGTGAATCAAGGAATGTGTGAACAGAGTCTAATGACGATACTCATCTAGTTTACCCTCCCAAAAGCCTAAAAAATAAATAGATAACAAAAAATATCTCTTTAGCTATATGATAAACAAGGCAACGCAAGATGGATATAATTTAAGAGTTATAGATTCCTCCAGTTATAGGAGAAGAATTTTCTTCTCCGACGCAATACAAAGGTGGGATCGACTGAAAAAAGGAAAGAAAAAAAATAAAAATGAAACCCACACCTTTATACTGTGTCTGTAGAGAAAAAATTCTTCTTCTGTAACAGGAGAAATCTATAACCCATAATTTAATTACATTAAGTGTATTACAATAAGATCATTTCTAGTCAAGTTATATACAGACCCAAGAATAATGCCCCCAAAAGAAAATATGAGCTGTTAAATATGTACATAACACCCTTTAAGTATCACTTGGATCAGATTATCTGCGTCTGGGAAAAAAATTGTGTATTAACAAGCACACCAAAGCTGAGCATCACATGGATGATGCATAATTTGAGAAAAATTAAAGCATTTGGCTAAAACTTGAGCAATCAAACCAAGAGTTGAAGAGATGCATCTGGTGAAACTTTTACCATTTACCATGATAAACCTGGAGGAATCAAATAAGTAATAGCTGATGAGTTTAAGCATAAACAAAAAAGACACAAGCGGAGTGATAACAAGTTACATAAAAAACTTCAAATTATAAATAGTTTTACGTTGTACCAACAATCTGTCGAGGAGTACAGATTTAAAATCTGCTTGCGCACGTAAGGAACATTGCAACACATTTCAACACAATTTATGCATTTACAGCTGTGGTTGAACAATTTCTGTGGTATCCTCACGCTGCTCAACATACAAAATACACTTTAAAAGATTTTTCTTTTCGGTAAACATTTAAAGAGGAAGCAAAAAATTATCATTTTCATCAAGTTCTCTTTCAACATAACTGGAGGGTTTCTTATACCAAATCGAAGTTCAACCATTTGATCAGTAGTTAGCATCATGCACTAAATACCCTCACTAGTCAGGTTGACAAATAGGTCAGATGTTAGATAAACCAGGCAATATTTCCTGGTTGATCATCTATATAGGATGAACCCAATTGGTTTGGTTGAAAAATATTTTCTTCTGTTTAGGGGGAAGAAAAGAACAATATTTAAAAGCTCTACGTTGAGGTATTTTCTCTTCCCATTGAGGGAGATATATAAACAAGTGCAAGGGGAAACATGTAAACTAAGAAAAATTACATCAAGCATGTGACTTCAATTATATCAATATTCAATTTATGCAACACTAAAACTATTCTCTCTATCATTGAGAAACGAAAATACATGTTGAGGCCTGAATTCAACTATTAATAATACAATTGGAGGAAGTGAGATACCTTGATAGACTTGTCAGCATATCCAACATAAAGTTTTCCTTGGCTGCATAATATAGCTGTTACAACAGAACTGCAAGGAATGGATCCAAATGCTTTGACATCCAGTTCAAACTCATCTCCTGATAATTCCTACAATTCAATAACTTTTTTAATGAGTTTCTATGCTAATTGAGTAAACTATTATATAAAAGATCATAATTAATTTTTCACAAATTTAAACGATTAACACAGCAAACTGACTTGTTTTCCATGTAATTCCCGAAACAGAGCACAAGATTTTGCATTTCTACCTGTATATTAACATTTTTGTCCCAACCTCCTGTATAAAGGCATTTTCCTTGCATGCTCATAGCAAAAATGGCACCTTTATGCAATGTTTTGGAATACATGAACACATCGTTTCTCCAGACCTAAACAAGCAAATGATGCAAGAGATGTTACCCAATAATGGCAGGGGTTGATTATGTGGATCAAGTTGATATTTCATTTCATATGGGCCACAATTCATTAATTTTCAAAAGGGGCACAATTCTAGAAAAGTATGAAACCTTTATGCATCCATTCTCATGTGCTGCAATAAGCAAATGCCTATCGGCAGTAATAGTCAGGATAGACTTCATCTCTCCAGGCATATCTTCCCCTAGTACTGTCAATGGGCTGTGATCATTAAGACTCCACAACCGAATTGTTCCATCCCAACTACCACTGTAAAGAACCTCATCACATACTGCAAGTGTGGAAACTACAGATCTATGGCCATCCATTGTGCATATCAAAGTTCCATCCTGAGAAAAGGTACAGAAATCCACAGAATGCATTTCCCAATGAAGCTTTTGAATTAGGCTGCAACATAAGTAAACAAAGAAAATGACAAACTCACCTTTAATGACCAAGCTTTTATTGTTCTATCTCCACTTCCAGTGTAGAGACAAAGATTTCTGGAAACAGTCAAGGAATGGATACCACTATAGCGCCAATCCTTCTCCTCATACCATTTCCTCAAAGGATCTTGCCTGAGAGGGTTAGTAATTCCCCAGATAAATATACCCCCTCCACTGTCACCACTTACGCACAATGGTTCTTCTTCATCGACGTAAACTAGAGCCATGACTTTATTCTCATGACCTTTAAATGTGTGTAAATGAGAAAAGTCCTACATAAAATTTGCGGGGATGAAACTCATCAATAGAATAACTGAGAAAAAGCTAGCATCATAACAACCACACTCTTCTAGTTCAGTTCTATCATATCTGTAAAGAACCTTGGGATACACCACCCCAAAAGCTAGCTCAAAGGGTGGGAGTGCCCAAGACCTTATAAACTTCACATTAGTTGCACATACAACCAATGTGGGATTATATATCTCAACACGCCCCCTCACACAAGAGCCCATTGGGCTTGAAGAGTGGAAGATGCAACAGGCACAACCTACCTGTGCTAAGAAAGTCCACAAGAGAAAGTGGGAGGCGGCGAGGCTCTGATACCATGTAAAGAATCTTGGGATACACCACCCCAAAAGCTAGCTCAAGGGGTGAGAGTGCTCAAGGCCTTATAAACTCCACATTAGTTGCACATACAATCAATGTGGGACTATATATCTCAACACGCCCCCTCACACAAGAGCCCATTTCTCTCTTCCTTTATTTATTCGTCTATTGGCACTAAACATGGATCAGAAGGTATCTACTAACTGGTGACACATAGACAAATGGAAAAACAAAAAAAACAAAAAAAAACAAAAACAAAAAAACAAAACAAAACACCAGAAGAACTACTTTTTGGAAAACACCAAAGGAAATTTCTAATTCCACTGCATTTGCTGAGACAATAATGATGGTATCCCCATGCCAAGATTATTAATGAGATTATGCTATTTGGAATGCAACCAGTCGAATATTATCAGGTAATTGTATTTTAAAAGTGTTACCTGCAAGGACCATACATGGACAGTTTTATCGAATGAGGAACTAAACAGATATCCCCCTGCAAACTAAACAAATACTCATTAGAATGAAATATAATTCTGCATGCATAATCACCATATATCCTAACAAATCAGCATACCACAACTGGAACTCTGGTCATGGCATATGTAAAGCAACCTAAATGTAGATACTGATTAAGAGCCTAGCTTATAAGTTGCATTAAACCATGTCCTACCAAATTGTATATTCGTTTCAAAATATTTTTAAAGCAATGCATATGCACGGATGGCATCAGAAAATGTGACCAAAACAATTTGAAAGCCTCGGGTTCATATGGCATCTAAATCCATAACAAATGCCAATTATTGGATAACTTAGTTATCACTTGGTTAAAGGCTCTATGCACACTTCCACCCACTTCAATAATAAAATGGAAATATGATTTATTTTCTACCCCAAAAATATAATCCTAAGCATCTTGCCATCCAGACTTACAACAAATGGTATCATGAAATAGGACTGATAGATATGGCAACCTTTGAATATAAACTTAGAATTCATACCTCCAACAGCCAAACCAGTGATACAATCAAGATGGCCTCGCAGATCTTTAAGTTCAATCATTCCCTTAGATAGGCCAGCAGCAAAGTCTTCACCAGATTTGTCTTCCCCGTAATGAACAAATTCTGGTTGACCTCCATCTTCTTTCTCCTGCAACTCACGTTCCTTAGAACTTTCCTTAGGCAACTGACACAACTCCCCAAGAATCAAGCAGTGACCTGTGTTGTCCCAATTTATTGTGACCTCCAAGTTGCCAAGTAAATCAAATTGAGGTTTGACTAACATATCCTGAATGCATTTCCTAACATCCACCACATCCGGACGGCTTCCTGGATTGATGTCCAAACATTTGCAAAGAATCTGCCTCAGAGATAGATATTCAGAGCCTAATTTGTCTTCCAGAACAGAACTAACTTTCTCCACCCAATAAAGGTAACTAGCAGAGATGTCAAAGCCACTCTCTTCATTCATTTCCAAGGTATTCAGAGGGAGCGCATTTCCAATAAGAAGCCGCAGGAGTACACAAGCCAATGACCACACATCAGAGCCATACACAATCGGATATCCTGAATGCCCACTATCTGGAGTAATAACCCCCTTGTGCAATAACTTCAACAAAACCTCTGGGCTTATGAAAAGCTCATTTCCCAAACAACCCTTGCATATTGCTTCTCCTTTGTGCTCATCACCCATGCCACCAGAAACAGTATCAACAATCTTCCTTCCCATCGCCAATGCCTCATTGAAATCAACATAAATGCCACCAAGCTCATCAAAAGAGAAGCAAGAAAGTCCCAAACAGCCTACAATCAAACCTTCCAAATGCAAAGCAAGCAGAGATTCACATATACCCTTACCAATCATTACGAAACTAAAAATCCCACCTCTATCCAATTCCAAACCATCCCCATTCACACCAAGAAACCCATTGCTCAATTCACTGAACTTATCCCGAAGATTCCCACGGTGCCTCTCGCACACCAAATACAGAGGCCCATCCACCATCTCACTCCACAAACCATAAACTCTACACACCCTACCCTGCCTCACGGAAGCTTCTAGAATCAAACCTAACTCCTCCCTCACAACCTCTTTCATTCCTTCCAAACACTTGATAATCCGAGCAACATAGCTAAACTTGAACTTGGAATGATTCACAGGAGGCAAAGAGACAATAGGAGCAAGGCTCACACTGAGGTTTCCTCTGAAGCAAACCCTACCTTTGGACGAAGAACTCGAACTGAATCTCCCAAAACCATGCTTGTCGACCGAAACGGCGTCGTGAGGAAGAATCCAATCCTTCCAAGTAGCATAGAACTCATGGGACCAGAATCGAGAGTGATCTTCATCAGCGTTGTTCGTGGACCGTTGATTCGGTTTCTGAGAGTGATCAGACGGAGGAGAAGAGTGCTGGAGACAGAGCCTGAGGAGGTCGATGTTTTTGGGAAGAGAAGAAGGCCCTTGTTGAGAATTGTACTTGACAAGTTGGGTACAAGCGGGGCACCGAATCGTATTCGGGTATCGCTGTCGGAGCTCCACAAGGCAAGCTTCGCAAACCGAGTGACCACACGATAGTACCCGAGGAATTGCTTCATCGTTGTCGTAAGATTGAAGGCACACCGGGCACTCCGGAAGCTCCATGGTCGCCGGAGCGAAAACCCGAAACCGAAAGATATTTCCAAACGGCGTCGTTTACAACGAAACTTCCATTAGACGTATTTGTCCTCGAATATGTTTTAAAATGACGAAACTACCCTCAGGGTACAAGACCCGTTTAAAAGACTATGATGGCGAGTTGCAGGAAATCTGAACTGTAACCGCTGCTTCTGATCTGAGCGAGGTACGTTTTTTTTTTAGAAAATGCGAGATTGAGAGAGAATCAAAGTAATTGGATCTAGAATTCCTTGCTGAACAGTGAATTGGTATTTGGATTTGATGAAACTGAGCTCACATAACTTGGAATTAGGGTTATTTTACAGTTGAGGTCGATGTGTCCTAATAACATTGCTGGATCCATTGAGCTTTGGTTGTTGACTTTTTTTATTTTTTTTTGCTGTTTCTAACAGTTGTTTCTGTGTTCGCCATTGCTGAACTTGCAACGAGAAGGCCATGGCGGGGTCCGGGAGTTCCATGCTGTATTCCTTTCTTCTATTCACGGTTATTCTCTCGCTTCAAGAAATGTACCGCGGGAAACTAGCATCTTCAGAATTATACACTATACTTGGAGGTTTCATCAGCTCTCTCCTATTTCTTGTGCTCCTAACTGTGAGTTCTGAATTCATCTCTTGACTTCTTTCTCATGAATCACAATCACCTGCATGAGCATTTTCTTAGCTTTGAAGTTTTACTTATGATATGCTGATGATATTATGTTTTTCCTGAGTAATTAGATCATGTACTAGGAAAAAAATTTACTCTGGAAAATCTTTATACTCAGCCTTACTAGAAGGAACGAAAATAATATTTGTTGTGATCTTAGAAAAGGAAAAGTATCTCTCGCTTATTCCTTTACCATTACAGCTCATTTGATACTAGTGTTTGGTTATTTTGGATATATGTTATAATTTGTACGTGTATATTTTGTACTGAGGTTTGCCTTTAGAAGACATCAAATTTTGCGTTGTGTAATTCTTCCTAGTTCCTATTAGAATTGCCATTTTTGTAAATTGAAGCCAGAAGATTTTTAGAAGACTGAGAAAATTCCTATTTTTATCATTACATGGTTATAGACTGATGTTCATATATATTGGTTCCCTGGTCACCCATTCATGTAGTCTTCCTACTTTGAGAAAATCAAAGAATCTTTTGTTCATACTAGTCCTAGGCAGACTGTCGTGGCCTATTGTTAACAAGATATATGTGAATGCTTATTTTTAACCATATAGTCCTGCTTATAATTATCTTCTACCGTGTATAAATCTTCCAAGAATTCCATCAAAGCAAAATCTTTTACGCTAATTTAAGGTATTTATATTTAATTTACATTTGTGCTTGCAGTTCATTGGAAATTTTCAGGAAACAATTGGCGTAAGAACTGGTTGGGGCGCTGGTAAGTGCATGTTGATTTTGAATGTTGATAACAGACAGTATCATTTTATATTAATTGTAATTGTTCACTTTTGTGACATTGAACATTAACACATACTACTTAAAGCACTTATTTGTTAGTGTGCTACTGTACTGTCTTATGTGCATGAGTACCATAAGTTTCAACCTGGTTTTTCTGCTTGTCTACCAGCATTGAATCCCCGTTTTTAGGTAGCTATGAATATGCTTTCCTTGTCTATCTGCCATAGTAAGTTTACTCTCTCATTATAGATATAAGTCCAAGCTTGTTATTTTGTGGAGAGCTTTCCGCATGACACAGTTTTGCTTATGTAGGCTACGTTATTATGCAATATGTATAGAAGGCAAATAAGATTATGCAGCATTTTAGAGACGATTTATAATTCTTCATGTGTTTGTTTAGAGAGGCAAAATGATTGATATTAACTTTTTTCATAAAAAATCAACATCAACATCAACAACACCTTTATCCCAAATTAATTGGGGTCGGTGGTAGATGAACCCACATGAAAGATACAAAACGGTTGAAAAAAAGTTAAAAAATAAATAAAAAATAAATAAATAAATAAAAATAAACAAATAAAATAAAAATATAAAATAAGATAAAATAAAATAACAATATATGTATATATAAATAAATAAAAGTAAAAAAGAAAGGGACAAGAAGAAGTGGGGGAAATGAAGGGGAAAAAGACTAAAAAGGGACCATCTGGAACATAGGAATAACAGCGGGTCTAACCCTCCACCATACTTATAGCTTTTCTCCATTCCGTTCTAAGACATACTGTCCGCCAATCTATATCCCACTCCATTAAATCTTGTTTTACTACTTTCCCCCAAGTAAGCTTCGGCCTACCTCTGCCTCTTTTTGTGTTGAGCTCTTGGTAACAAACTTCTGTTCTTACAGGAGCATCCATGGGTCTTCTCATCACGTGCCCAAACCACCTCAATCTATGTTCTCTCATCTTCTCGGCTACCGATACTATTCCGACCTTTCGTCGAATATCTTCATTTCTTATCTTATCCATCCTTGTGTAACCACACATCCACCTTAACATCCTCATCTCTGCTACTCCCATCTTATGCTCATGTTGCCTATGTGCTGGCCAGCATTCTGCTCCATATAGCATTGCCGGTCTTACTGCCGTTTTATAGAATTTTCCTTTTAACTTCAGGGGGATTTTGCGGTCACACAAAAATGCAGATGCACTGTGCCATTTCATCCACCCTGCTCTGATTCTGTGATTTACATCCTCATCAATCTCTCCACCGTTTTGTAAAATGGAGCCCAAGTATTTAAAAGCATCTTTTTTGGGTACCTCTTGACCATTTAGATGCACAGGTTCTTGGTCCTCATCTCGTACCAGAGAAAACTCACACTTCAGATACTCAGTCTTGCTTCGACTTAATGTGAATCCTCTGGATTCCAATGTGCTTCTCCACAATTCAAGTTTTCTATTAACACCCTCCTTGCTCTCATCAATAAGCACAATATCGTCTGCAAAAAGCATACACCATGGCACTTCCTCTTGAATATCTTTAGTTAGTTCATCCATAACTAAGGCAAAGAGGTAAGGACTTAGAGCCGACCCTTGGTGTACACCTACCGTGATAGGAAAATAATTTGATGATCCGTTACAAGCTTTTACACATGTAGTAGCCCCATCATACATATCCTTGATTGCCTTTACATACTTTAATGAAACCTTTTTCTTCTCCAGGACCCACCATAAAACTTTCCTTGGAACCCTATCGTATGCTTTCTCAAGGTCTATGAACACCATATGCAAGTCCTTTTTCTTTTCTCGGTATCTTTCCATTAGTTGTCGCATCAAGAAAATTGCTTCCATGGTACATCTTCCTGGCATAAATCCAAATTGATTTACAGAAACCTTGGTATCTCTCCTCAAGTGATGTTCAATAACCCTCTCCCACAACTTCATAGTATGGCTCATTAGCTTAATGCCTCTATAGTTTGAACAATTCTGTATATCTCCCTTGTTTTTGTAGATAGGCACAATCATACTTTTCCTCCATACATCAGGCATCTTATTCGTCTGGAGAATCTTATTAAAAAGATTGGTCAACCATTTTATTGCCACATCCCCCAGGCCTCTCCACACTTCAATAGGGACACCATCAGGCCCTAAGGCTTTATTAGTCTTCATCCTCTTTAAAGCCTCCTTAACTTCATGTGTATTAATTCTGCGTATAAATCTTCTATTCATATCATCACACGCGTCCTCTAAGTCCACCTCGCTTGTATCTCCATCCCCATTATACAGCTTGTTGAAGTATTTCAACCACCTTTCATTTACATCTTCATCTCTCACCAGAAGTTTTTGATTTTCATCCTTGATGCATCTAACTTGGGTGAGGTCTTTACTTTTCTTATCCCTTATCTTTGCAAGTTTATAAATACCTCTTTCACCATCCTTGCTCCCAAGATTTTTATACAACTCGTCGAAAACCTTGCCTCTAGCTTCTCGCACTGCTTTCTTTGCATTTTTTCTCGCCAATCTAAACTTTTGCAGGTTCTCTGCACTGGGACTTTTATGCAAAGATCTAAAGCACTCCTTCTTATGTTTAATTGCCTCTTGCACCTCTCCATTCCACCACCATGTTTCCTTTGTATGAAATCCATAAAAATTAAAGAGGTAAAAAGAAGAGCTGAGTTTCATCAAAGAGGATTACCATATTATGAAATTGGTGATCTCCTTTCTCTAAACCTCTGCAATAAACATATTATGAGTCCCTTAAATTAGTATTGTAGTTTCATAATATCTGTTTAGAAGAGATTAATTGCATGATACATGCAGATGAAGGTCACTCACTTTATTTATTGAAAAGTTGTGACACTTGAAAAACATCCACGTTTTTATACTTGAGAGTTGCATGAAACATAGGATGAGACATTCAATCCTTTCATTCCTTCTGTTGTTACCATGTATAATTCATGTATGTCTGAGTTTCCAATATTGTTTTTTATGTTTTTACAAAAACTAAAGACTGTATTTTTATTTTGCAGTCATAGTAGCAGAAGTAGTTGCTCTGATTGCTGCAAGCACTGTCCATCGAGTTTGCATCACTACATGGTATGCTTCCCCCAGCCCATCCTCCCCCTTATGAATGAATAATAAGAAGAAACTCAACCTGAGAAGTATAGTGTCTATCTGAAATATTTAAAACAAAAAAAAAAAAGGAGAAAGGGAGGGAGAAGAAAGAAAGGATAGGAAGAAATGCGTCTCAAAAGCAAATTGCTGCTGTGATAATAATCAATATTACATTACAATGTAAAAGAATAAAAGAACTTGCAATGTCATGCAATCAGATGGTTTTTGGTAAATAAGGTAATAGACAATCTAAAGCATTTGTAGCTTGAATAGGGCAGACAAAATTGGTTTTAGCAGCAAAATTTTGAACTTGCAAATTGCAGAAAATCATAAGGATGTTTCTATTTCGGAGAGAGTACATTTATTTTAATGGAATAGAAAGGAGCCTTGTGAAAAATAAATTTAAAATGGCCAAGCGATGCGAAGTATTGATATTGTTATAGTCTGGCATTTAGAGATAAAATCATTTGTTGATGTATTCATATGAACCATAGTAGTTAATTGCGCCGCAATAGCGCCGCAAGCTGCGCCGTATGGGCGTTGCAGTGCCTCGCCGCAAGAAACCGCGCCGTGCTGCACTGGAACGCAATAGCGGCAATTGCGATCGCATTTGCGGCCATATTGTTATCATAAGGCAAAATGTCAATTTTGTCCTAAATTTAAATGTGTAACAGAAAAAATTTAAGGGTTTTTAGTCTATCTGTGCCGCTCTCTGTCACTTTTGCTATCTCTACCTTTAAAAAATATTTTTTTTTGTCATTATTTCTGTCATATATTTATTTTGCTATTTCCGCAACCGCAACCCGCTATAACGCTATAGCGTTTTTGGGGGTTGGCCGCGACATGCTGCAATCCGCATTTGATAACTATGATATGAACCCATTATTGATGTTCTGGTGTTTGTTGCTTAAATGCAGTTTCCTGTTCTCGGCTGGATTGCTGTACGAGGTTAACAAGCTCTCTGGGTCAGCGCTTTCAACAAGTGACTCCAGAACTAAAAGGCAAAGTGGGCGAGCGTAATCCTATTTGTGCTTACTGTCAAAGTATCTTTAGAGAATTTTCGGTAGTAGCATTAGTTTTTCAACCCTAGTAGCTCAACTACAAGAAAAGTATGTTTTATAATTATCTGACTTATTTTACAGTTACAATGATATGATTTGAAAGATGTGCATCATGCTATAAACCAATCAGTCATTTTTTTCTCACGGTGATCTTGTTTACTTCATCAAATAATGAATGCTAAAATGGGTTACGCGGGATATAAACTTCTGATGGATCCAACTTTCGTATAAAATTAATGGTTCTAGGTTTGTTCTCGCTAAGTAAGCCATTGAAACTTTTGGCCATGAATCACTTTGCTTTCAGTGATTCACTGCCAGTTGTTAACTGTAGTATTGGTTTTGTAACTATGAACCAATGTTGTGAAAATCGGACCAGGTCGACCCAGAACTCGGTGAACCGGTCATGTGACCGGTCCAGTTATCACATTGGATCGGTCAAGTACTAGACCCAGTACGACCCGGCCGATTTTGGTGAAAACCGGTGACCCGGCTGGTTAACCAGTGGCCCGGCTCGAGTTTTAAAAAAAAAATTATAATTTACATATTTAGGTGATCTGTTACTTATTGACTTACATAAGTTATGTACTTATAACATTAATATTATCTCTATTATGTACTATGTAGAAAATTTCGATTTGATTTATAGTTAGAGATGTCGTTTACTGAACCTGAAACACTAATATCACAAGCATTATATATTTTTTTATTCTTTATTAGATAATAATGTATAATTTATTATTTTTTATATTAAAATTTAAGATTTATATTATTTTTTCGCTATTTGAGTATGTTTATAATTTTTTTAATATAAATTATAGATATATATATAATCACTGAGTCATACGATTCAATCAGTGATCTAGTAATTCGATACCTCGACCGAGTCATTTACAGTGTATTTTCGGTAGAAGAGGAATGGGAACTCCCTTACTAAAACGGAGAGTAGGTATTCAAGTGAAAAAATAGGAATATAAAAGAATATAATCATAAAAATAAGGGTAATGTAAATATATATTTTTTTCATATTCAATAATCTCAAAGAGATAATTAGGGTTGAGTAACTCCAAAAAAAAAAAAAGATATAGCGAGTGATTGATACATTCTTATTACTGCAAATATTTTCCTGTAATAGATGACTACGTGGCCTTCAGTGATTACTTTAAGCGTGATGGGTTCTTGTGTCTTTTGGCATGTCACAACTCAAGTGCGAGAGTCTCTTGTTTGGACGAGTCCTTTCAGAATTTAAAAGAATTTGAAATGGTTCATTTGTAAAATTTCTTGTTTGAATATTTACTAGTAAAATTGATATTTCAATACAAAACTTTGCAGAACATAATAGAAATCAAACATTATTTATTTTTTCATTCATAGTAAAACAAAAAATGAACAATATGAAAAACTTATAAATGAGAAAAATCTACAGTTATACCAATTTTCTTTTCGAATATAATCCATTATTACATTACATGGATTCGTGCCGCAGAGAATACCGCTTAACAACAAGCAAATAATGACAGCAAAAATTTATAGAAGAAACACTTTGATATGCACAAGGTTGATTGTCTTTGACTTCTGTTAATGGGTAGCTGAACATAAACTTTATGGACCTCTTCTAACAAAGTCCTCCACTGTCCCTGCCTATGGCATAACAACACCCTTACAATGTTACTTGCACAAAGAAATCCAGCACTAATATCAGCAGCAACCAAGCTAGCGCAATTAGCCTCTACATTTGTCACAGCTTTTATGATAGTACAGGCCTGCTTGTACAAAACCAATTTCAGGATTAAAGCAATTACCTGATGCACGAGCAAAAGCTGCAGTTAACTGCAGCAAGTCATACAGCAATAGCCCTTCACATGAGAAATTTTTTTTTACTTTGAAATTATGATTTCCTTTAAATGGTGGGAATGAGATTTTTTCGAGAAAGCGATCAAAAAGTTGTTTGGTAGGCAAAATTTTACTAGGAATATTGGGTCAATTTTTCTGTGTCAATGTTTGGTTGATGGTAAAATATTAATAGGAATGTGGACTAAATTTACAATAATACCCTCGATTTTGAATAATCAGGTTTCAACGTTTATTTGTTCAAGTCTCTCTCTCTCTCTCAAATCGACCACTGTCCAAACAACACAACACACCACTCACTCACTGAAGGTGTGCTTGCTATTCTGAGATCCCAGTTCTGAGATGAAGCTACTAAAAAAGATATTTTGAGAGAGCATATTCAGAACCTTTGATACTTCTTCTGTCATTTTCTTCAAATCCATTTGGTTTTTGCCAAAACCATTAACCATTTCACCAAAGAGAAGGAAGATGTTGTTCGTTGAAGGTGTGCTTGCTATTCCCTATCCTACCAGACGACATCCTCCTCAAGAACAGCAACCCATGTTGTTCATCGGGTTTGACACTACTCAGCTATAGGGCACGATGCAACAAGGGTAAAAAAGACCCAAAAAATATGTAAAATTTCTCCAAGAAACCGGATTCTAGAAATACCACCTAATTTGTGGTATTTGATGGTATTTGGGTTAATAATTTGCACTACAGCCAAAATGCTGGCAAAGTTCGAATCATGGGAAAGATTTTGGATTTCCTCTACCAAACATAGATATATTACAATCCCAACCAAGATTTTCCAGGATTGTAAAAAAAAAAACACTCCTACCAAACAGGCCCTAAGAGTTCCCTTACTATACAAGTGGTAAGAGAAAAAAATTTGCAAACTCAACTAAAAAGAGGCAAGTTCTTTAGCAGAAGTAGGCAAGCTATCATACTTTAAGCAAACGTCCAGACAACTAACGAAGTCCACATTTTGATGGTTCTAATTAATCCCTACTTTTACTCTCACCACTAACCCTGGACTTTCCCACATCTCAAATCCACCCACTTCTATATCCTATGTGGCTATGCGCATTTTTATTCAACCAACCATTGTCTTATTAAGACTTATTCTCACTCAATATTAATATATAATCAATCATATAGTTGTAACAAGAATGTCTGATTTGATTACATTTTGCACAAGATTATCACAATATTCTAATGGAAAGCATCATTAAGTTATACATGACAGTAAGCTAGTAAAAACAGAATAACACCCTGAAATACAGACCGGCCAGACCCTCTTCAAAATGGAAAACAACTGAAATTTTAGGCCAAATAAATAAAAAAGACATACCGGAAATCAAAGCATAGATATCATTCTAAGTCTTCAATGAATGAAAGTAGGTAAAAGGGAACTTTACCAAGGAAGAAGCATAATAGGGGAGATCACTGAGATTTGTCAGAAGTTGATTTGCAGTTGTCAGTTGCAAGACACAGCCAGTGCTGGTAGATTTTTCCGCATTCCAAGATGATCAGGTTTTTCCCACTGCGTCAAAGACAAAATCCAAACCAAACTTTTTTCACCACGCACTTCCAATAAAACTGAATTACTCATGAAGTAATTACATCATATCTTGAATTAAAAAATAAATCATCAAATTAATAATAAAAAATAAAAGTTCAAAGATAATAATGAAAAATAGAGCAAGGGTACCTAAAATTGAAGATGGCACCAGCGGTTGCTAATTTGCTGCTTCTCAGTTAGTAAATAGCACATAATACAACCACGATGAGCTATATAACATGCACCATAGCTATGCATTCTACACATCATCATGGCATATTCTAAAAGCATAACTGTGATCTCATCAGCAATAACCTGCAATATAACAGAGGTTAATATGCAGTTTTTAGTTGCTAGACACAGCCAGTGCTGGTGGATTTTTCTGGACTCCAAGATGATCAGGTTTTTCCCACTGCATAAAAGACAAAATCCAAACCAAATTTTTTTCATTACTCACTTCCAATAAAACTGAATTACTCAAAGTAATTACATCATATCTTGAGTTAAAAAAATCATCAAATTAGTAACAAAAACAGAGCAAGGACACCTAAAATTGATGGCACCAGTGGTTGCTAATTTGCTGCTTCTCAGTTAGTAAATAGCACATGACATAACCACGATGAGCTTTATGACATGCACTCTATACATTCTACACATCATCATGGCATATTCTAAAATCATAACTGCGATCTCATCAGCAATAACCTGCAATATAATATGTCAATCATCTATGCATTTGAAAGTTAGGAAGGATGTGGCAGTAGCAGCAAATTCAGAGTTCAGAGGATTATACCAAAAATAACTGGCAAGTCTTAAAGCAAAAGGAAATATCAACAGGAGAAGCAACACAAAAAATGCAAGTAACAGAATGAAAAGGAAAAGTTTACCAGTTAAATGCTGATTTTTATGTTACATAATAGGCATATCCAGACATATAAAACTGCAACTGTCTTGACTGCATAATCAGTAGTCTAAGCTACAAATATCACATGTTAGATGCTTCTAGTTGCCAGTTGCCTTCTATGCTTTTTAATCATATAAAGGCTCCTTGACAAGAAGATTCATTTTTTCATGAAGAAATTTGAGCACATCCTCTCTCCCTTCCTTTATAAGCAATTGTCTTAACCTCCCAAATGTAACACGTGATGGTCGAATTCCCTTCTCTATCATCTCTTCCATCAAAACACAAGCTTTCATAACATTTCCCTTTTCACATAACCCATTGATAAGGGCTGAAAAAGTGTGCATGCTTGGGACAAAATGTTTTGACTTCATATACCTCCATATTTTCAGAGCCATCTCTAGTTCATTTCTCTCACAAAACATTTTTATCATCATTGTATAAGTGTCGGCATCTGGTTCGCATAACTTGATCATTCGGCGGAAAACTCCAAAAACTCTATCAGTCTTTCCTTGGCTAATCAAACTGCTTATGATAACATTGCAGGTCCTTGAATTAGGAGTGACACCATTGCACTCCATCTCTTGTAACACCCGATGCACATTTTTAAATTTGCTCACTTTACAAAAGGCCCCAATCAAGGCATTATACACCACAACATCTGCCTTGATTCCCTTCCTTTCCATCTCCAGGAATGCATCAACAGCATCTTCAATCCGGTTTTCCACACCATAAGTATGAACCAGGACACTATAAATGAAAGATGTCGGCCTGCAATTGTTAGCATCCATATCCTTGACAACCTCAACAGCTTCATCAACTCTCCCTGCTTTGCAAAGAATGTCAACCATTATACCATAAGTAACAATATCAGGGTTGCACCCCATGTCAACCATCTCTCTGAAAATCTCTCTTGCTTTGGGAAGATTTGGAGCCTTTCCCCACCCTTCAAGCAATATGCTATAAGTTTTCGAGTCCGGGACAAAGCGACCCTTCATACTGTCAAAGATCTCTTGAGCCTTCCTTACATTCTTGGACTTGCACAAAGCACTCAGCAAACCATTAAATGCAGCAAGATTTGGAGGCATGTCATATTTTTCCATGACATTAAATGTATAAACAGCCTCATCCACCTTTTGAGCCCTGGCATATTTTCGCATGATGATACAAAAAGTCTCAACATTTAGCATACCCTTTTTCCTCATAGCATTCACAAGCTCCCACATGATCTGATACTGCCTTATCTTAGCCAAAGACTCAATCATGGAGTGGTATGCTCTGATGGTATGCGAATAGTTTCTTTGCCTCTCTGACCATTCAAAGAACCGAAATGCCAACATGCCCGCATTCTCAAACCTCTTGAGGACATTCTCCACTAAATCAGGTGAAACTCTAACCCCAGTTTGATTAAGAGCAGTGTCAAGCGCCACTATAGGACACGATATCATAACCTTGCACACTGTTTCAGTTACATCTGCAACCTCATGAATTGGTTCACTAGTGCTGTACTTTTTGGCAAACAACACCCATTTGTGGAATAATTGTTTTCTATGGTCACCAATCTTAATCATTGCGTAGTAGCCAAAGAAAAAGTCACAAATTCACCTAAACCCTAAATCATAAATCACAGGATAAGTTGTTTGTTAAGAATGGAAGGAGGAAAATGTCGTCGTACGTGAACGCCGAATAGAGGTAATATCTTCTGAAATGAAACTGTGGAGGAATTGCGATATTGTGTAGTGTGGTCGGAAATGGTCAGTTATGGATTGAAAATTGCATCATTTGGGTGTTAGCGAGTGTGACGAAATTGCTACTCTGCAAACCCTATCGCGATGGCTCAAGTCTGAAGAAGCAGAAGCAAAAACTGTTTATGAATTTCATAATAAAAGGGGAAGTGTTTTTCATTTTAAATGAAATAAAATTATGTTATTTTAAGAGAGAAATAGGTACAGAATTTTTTTTATTTATTTAAATTTTAAATTAAAAAAACTACTCTCTTTCTCTCTCCCATACTTTCTATTCTTTTTGGTGTCTATCTCTTTCCTAAAATGACAAACAGCAAATCCAGTTGTTTTTCTTTATTTCGATTATTGAAAATTGTTTGTTTTAGGATGTACCAAAAAATAATAATTAATTTTGTGAGGGTTATATAATTAATTTTAGTAAAATACATAATACAAGATAAATGTAAAAATTTCAAAATATTTTATATTTTCTTTTCTAAATCTCAAAATAATATTATTTCGAGGTCCCGAGCAAAAAATAATAATCATAAAAAATAATATAACCTACAAATAAATTGAAATTAAAAAAATACATTCATCTCAACCTCAAAATAATATTGTTTTGAGGTCATTATAGATAATTAAAATTGTAGTTAAAATGAATCAATATTCACTATGATTAATATTAAGTTTTCTTACTTTTTTTGAAAAAAAATTAATTTTCATTTATGAAAGTAAAGGGCAAAGCCTAACAAACAAACAAAAAAGTACATCAAAACCTTCACACACACATATATATATATATAACATGTGTCATTTTACAAGCTTATATCATTTTAGATCCTAACCGTTGATTTCCGTCCATCAACGGTTATAATCTATTGGGTCAAACTTAATGGCCAAATTTTTTATTAATTAATAATTTTGATCCAATAAATTATAACCGTTGATGGACGGAAATCAACGGTTAAGATCTAAAATGATATAAGCTTATATCCTTTAAAAGGATAGATATTGTTTCCCATATATATATATATGAGAATTACTTTCTTATGTGACATAAGATAAAACCTCTCTCCTACACATACATATAGAGGAGAGAGAAAAGAGAATATAGGAGAGAGAGAGAAAATATAAATGGGTCTGATCTCTTTATATGTATGTGTATGAAAGAGATTTTATCTTATGTGACATAAGAAAAACAATTCTCATATATGTGCGTGCGTGCGTGCGTGCGTGCGTGGGACAAAATAACATATGTCAAGTTAGCCTCGTAAGGTAGGCTAACTATGGGGAAGATACAAACACACAAAGATCCTCTTGATGGGGATCGTGTATAAAAAAATTAGTCCTTCAAGTTGCACATGAATTACTCTCCCTCAATGCTAGCACAACTCCGATCCTTCAATCCTTCAAGAACCATGCCCTTATGTTAGAGCTATAAGATGTGACTTATAGCCAACATCATCCTTCTTGGTGAGTAAGCTAACTACATTATTAGAGCCGTTTCTAGAATGATGTTCTTCCAACCACAGTACCATGATTATTCTAACCTTTTCAACACTCCCTAGAGCTCCACTCTAAATTCATTGCAACATAAGTATTGTTGTTGAGCCATTGATCATTTTTGTCCTGCATTACTCCTCCATAGGGTGCTATTCCATTGTAACCCTTGATAGTGTGCTCATTATTTAGTTTGATCAAGGAAGCACAGACACTTGTAAAAGCAGGGAGAGTCGTGTCTGACACGCTCCGACACGGTGTCGAACACGCGGTCAACTTTTTCCGACACGTTGACCATTCCGACACGCGAATTTGACCGTGTCCGACACGGTCAAATGGCATTTTCGTAATTTTTTTTTAAAATTTTTTTAAATTTTTTTTTAGAAAATTTAAATATATTAATAAAGTTTCCACCTGATCATATCAATTTTATTTTTTTGTCTTTTTTCCCCTTAAGTAGATAAGAGATCATCTCAGCATCATTGTTGTCAATTCCTATCACACTCTTGTTGTATCTCCTTGTCTCTGATCTCTCTATCTGATATTATATACCTCTCTTATCCCAGTTCTTATTTTTTTTATTAAAGCTTCCATCTTTATAACGTGTTGATGAGTATTATTAATTTAGTTTCATTTTTTGTTAAATTATTAAATATTAAATGAAATATACACTATATAAATTAAAAATATTATTTAATATTAAAACGTGTCCTAACGTGTCGAAATCCATAACTTTTTAAGATTGACGTGTCGGATGTCGTGTCGTATCGTGTCACGTGTCGCGTGTCGTATCGGTGCTACATAGAGTTTGATCCAGCCTTCTTCAGGAGGCCTCCACTTGATGAATAAGTATACACGAACTTTACCCAAAAGAATGCTTCGTCTCATCAAATACTTTGATGATATTTTGAGAAAGGATCTAAATCCGGTGAGTTTTAAGGTGAGCAATAAGTTGTTCAATGCCATTGACTTGTCTATTTCTCTTCCTCTTGATTAGCCAACATGCCACCATAAAGATAATGTTTCAGGGAGTGCCCACACTAGCATCCGTAGAACAGTGGACATTCTCCTCGACCCATTTGGTTAGGGTTTGGGGAGTGCCCACATCAGGCTGCAACTCAACTTTGAAAAAGGCAGCCAACTTATTCCTATGAATGAGGTTCTTCCAAAGAGCACTTGTTTCTCTGCAATATCTAAGAACATAGAGGATGGATTCTGATTCCTCTTGGTAGACTTGGCAAGTGAGGTTCCCTATTCCCCATTGAGCACATCTCTCTTTGGTCAACATGCATTGATAGGCTATTGATAGGACGCAAATTCGTTCCCATCTAAGCTCATTTTGATGGAAAAATCCCATCTATTCCCTCATCTGGTGACCATTTTGTGCCTTAAAAACACATTTCCAGATCTTGAGAACAAAAGCACCAGAAGGGAACGGATGATGGTGTAATCAGTTGAGAATGCAAGAAAAGAAGAATGGATTGACTTATTTGCACACCTGCTCCACTAACCCCCCCCTCTCTCTGACCACTTTGTAGAAAACGTTGAAAAAAAGCTTTTAAAAAGCAGAGAGAGGTACAACAATCAAGCAGGAAGAAACGTGTACAACAGAGAATAAAGAGCAACCATTGGGTTAGAGAAAAAGCAAGCATGGGAGATTCAGAAGAAAAAGGGCAATTCTCAACCTTAAGTTGTCCCATCCAACAACTTGCTTCAGAGCACTGTTTGCACCGCCTCTTCATGCAATCAAGGAATAACTAAGGCAAAATTACAAGTCTGCCATCCACTCCTCTTGCCTATAAATAGGACGTTCTAACACGAAGAAAGGATCGAATTCCTTAAGAAGAGATCATCTAGGATAGTTTGAGTTTCTATTTTACAATTGTATAGTTTTAACAGTAGTTAAGTGACAGCAACTCTTCTCCCATTCTCTTTTCACCATTTGAGACTCCTTACGAGCATCACCCATATTTCTCCATTTTATTTCCTTGTAATCTGAACTTATTTCTTGTTAATATATGTTTGTTATTTATCTTCTCTTCTATTCGTTATCTTTAAATTGAATCTCGGGTCTATGGGATTTCAGTTTGAAATAATTATGTTTATGTTTTCAGCCATGGGCTAATTTATTTTGGAATGGAAAAACTGTGAAATTCTTAAAGAACTATGCTCAAAACTTTTGCATTGAAGCTTTTGTATTTCTGTGATTTAAGTAAGCTTAACTCTTTGTGTATCAATGGAAATTGAACTCAAACTGAGAAATGAACTTCCTTAAGGAAGGAATTTCAGACAACTTAATCATAGGATGGAGTTAGGGTTGTGAAAACAATGCTACTGGTTGCCTTAGGAATAAGGAACCATCTCGTTCTCTGAAGGTTCTGAACTTACTAACTGTTGGAGTCAAGGGAACCATAGGAATATGGAAACTTGTGAGTCATTCAAGTCTATGAGCTGAGGAATCAGAGTTGGCAGTGAAAAGACCTGAACAAATTCAGAAGGGTTAAGTTTTCAGTCGAGAGCATAGCTATTTAAGAATGGAACAGTGGACTTGTTCCTTGTGTTAAAAACTATTTTTATCCATCCATCTTGTTGTCTCTTAAATATTGTTATCTTTTAATTATTCTCCTTTATAATTCTTGTGACCATATAATCAAAACTCCAATGAATTTTGTCGTTCCTTCTCACATCAAGAAGGATTTGATATATAACAACGCGAGGAGTTGTTTAGAGTCAAAATGAACCTATTATCTAGAGGGAACGTCCTCAAGACAGTAGGGAATCCAAGACCAAATAGTTCAAATATTGTCTTTTGTCTTATTAACAATTATTTTCAAAATAGTTAAAGGTATTATTTAGAGTTCTATCCTCGTGGGAAAGATAATCTGGGCACTAATAATCCCATTTATACTTGATGCGTGCGCTTGCGCGACTAGGTTGATATCAAGAGAACGAATGTGTTTTCTCTTATAGGCTATTTTCCATCACAGACTTTAATTTTTAGAGTCCTTTCCAGCTTCAAACCTTGGCCCAGATGCCACCTGATGTGCCTCTGGCAAGTGTGGTTTTTCCATGTTAAAATTGATAAGAATTGGGTCATAAGAGAGCAATTTAAATACATATTTGCTAATTATATTGATTCTTTCTTTTCAATTATAGTTCTCACCTATTGGTTGTGTTTTTACAGGTAAAAGAAGTGAAAATTACAAAATTATTAAAAGCCTGTTGACGCGATTCCACGAGGGTATTTTTGGAAAAAGAAAAAGAGTCTTATAAATAGGAGACTTTGCACAGAAATTAGGTTAAAAGGTGAAGAAATTCGAAATTTGAAAGAAAACAAGGAAATGATTTGGCGCTGATCGTGCGGGTGCCATGAATGCAGTCCTTGATTTGTGGAGTCACGGATTTGGCGCTGATCGTGCGGGCGTCATGAATGCAATCCTTGAATTGTGGAATTATGATCAAAATGAAAAATTAATGAAATTAAATTCAAAGATTATAACCTGATTGACCAGTTGCCTATTTAAAGGGTGGTCCTCCACCATTCCAAGACATTGGAGACAATTCAGACCTATTTCTTCATAAGGAGACCGACGACAGA